GACCCTTCTTCATTTTCTGAAGAAGGGTCTAGGCCCGAAACATCAGCCTTCCTGCTCCTCTGATGCTGCTTGGCCTGCTGTGTTCATCCAGCTCTACACCTTGTTATCTTGAACTCGATGTTGAGTCTGGAGGACTGCAGGGTCCCCAAGCAGAAAATGAGGCATTGTTCTTCCAGCTTGCGTTGAGCTTTGCTGGAACACTGCAGCAAGCCTGAGACAGAGATGTTGGCCAGGGTACAGGGTGGTGCGTTAAAGTGGCAGGCAACTGGAAGTTCAGGGCCTTTTTTGCAGGCAGAACATTGACGTTCTGCAAAGTAGTCACCCAGTCTATGCTTCACTTCCACAACATAAAGCAGACCACATTGTTGGCAGCAAATGCAGGAGACTAGATTGTGGGAAGTGCAGGTAAAGTGTTGTTTCACCTGGAAGGTTAGTTTGGGCCCTTGGATATTGACGAGGTTGGAGGTAAATGGGCAGGTGTTTTACCTTTGATGGTTGCAGGGGAAGGTGCCATGCGGTTGTGAGGGTGTGTCGGGAGTAAAGGAACAGTGGACCAGGGTGTCCTGGAGGGAATGGTCCCTGCGAAAGGCAGGCGAGGGAGCGTAGGAAATATGTGTGTGGTTGTGGCATCTCGTTGGAGGTGGCGGAAATGGCGGCTAATGATCTTCTGGCTGTGGATGTTGGTTGGCTGGTAGATAAGGACAAGGGGAACCCTATCGCTGTTGCAGGAGGGAAGACAGGGGGTCAGGGCAGAAGTGCAGGAGATGGGTCAGACCCGGTTGAGGGCCCTGTCGACAACGGTGCTGGGGAATCCTCGGCTGAGGAAGAAGGTGGACATTTCAGAGGCTCCCTTGTCGAAGTTGGCTTCATTGGGACATATGCGATGGAAACAGACCAACTGGGAGGATGGAATGGAGACTTTACAGGAAGCGGGGTGCAAGGATGTATAGTCCAGGTAGCTGTAGAAGTCAGTGTGTTTCTAATGGGTGTTAGTGGCCAATCTATCCCCAGAAATGGAAACAGAAACGTCGAGGAAGGAAAGGGAGGTGTCAGAGATAGACCAAGTGAAAATCAGGGCAGGGTGGAAATCGGAAGTGAAATTGATGAACTTTTCCAAATCCAGACGAGAGAAGGAAGAAGCACTGATAATGTCATCGATATATTGGCGAACGAGTTATGGGGGGCTGTGCTGGAACAGGACTGGAACAAGGTATATTCCACATACCTCACGAAGAAACAGGCACTACTGGAGCCTGGATGGGTACCTATGGCCATCCCTCTGACCTGAAGAAAATGAGAGGAGTTAAAAAAGAAGTTGATGAGGGTGAGGATGAGCTCAACCAAGCAGAGGAAGGTGGTGGTGCGTGGGGATGGTTCAGGCCTTTCCTTCAGGAAGAAGTGGGGAACCCTGAGACCATGCTGGTAGGGGATAGACGTGTAAAGGGATTTTATGTCCAGGGTAAAGAGGAGGTGGCTGGAGCCTGCAAACTGGAAATTCTGAAACTGGCATAAAGCATCAGAGGAATCACGGTTGTACGTGAGCAAGGACTGGACCAGGGAAGAAAAGACTGAATAAAGGTAGGAAGAGATGAGTTCTGTGGCAAAGGAGCAGGCTGAAACAATAGGTCTGCCCTGGCAGTCCATTTTGTGGATTTTTGGCAGGAGGGAAAAGCGATCTGTACAGGGCTGGGGAACTATCAGCTTGGAGGCCGTGAGGGAGATGAAATGAGGTCAGTGACTGTGGTGAATACAACGGCCTGATGTGCCATTGTGGGGTCACGGTCCAGGGGAAGATAGGAGGAGGTATCTGAGAGTTGGCGCTCAGCCTCTGCAATGTAGAGGTCAGTCCGCCAGACTACACCAGCACCACCCTTATTGGCAGGCTTAATAACAAAATCAGGGTTGGATCTGAGTGCACAAAATACTGTCAGTTTGGAGGGAGATAGGGTGGATTGGCGAAGGGGGAAGAGAAATTCAGGTGACCGATGTCACATCGACAGTTCTCAATGAACAGACTGAGTGCAGGTAAAAGGCCAGAGGGAGGGGTCCAGGTGGGGAGGGAGAGGGTTGGAGCTGGGTGAAGGGGTCTGTGGGACGGGAGAGGACTCTTGTCTAAAGAAATGGGCATGGAGGAGAAGACGACAGAAGAAGAGTTCAATGTCATGTCGTGCCCAAAATTCATTGTGGTGGGGGTGCAGAGGGATAAAACCGAGACCTTTGCTGAGTGCAGAACGTTCAGCATTGGAGAGTGGAAGGTTAGGAGGGATGGTGAATACCCGAGGTGGGGTTGGGGGAGGCGATGGAGTCAGAGGGAAGGGGAGGGGGGAAGGTTCCAAACAGCCATGGGTATCTCTGAATTGTTGCATCTTGTCTGCCTTGATGCCCAATAGGAAAAGGAAAAGTTTCTTGTTAGCTCAGCGAATGAGCCAGAGGATGAAATGGAACTGCAGAGTGATGCAACCCTGAGCGAGTGTGATGCAATGCTGTTGGACAGCGAGGTCAAAAGTGTGCATTTGATGCTGCATGGCACTGTGTGTGGGTTTTAGGATGCGGCAAAAGCAGCTGACTGTGGAACAGTGAACATCACGGAGATATCTGTGATCCTGAGTGTGGATTTGATTCATTGGTATAGCTCTAGGAAGGGGAATGCTCATGTGAGTTTAAAAGAGAGCATTAGTTCTCACAGTGGAGTTGAAAATTACAAGGCTTGTGTCAAATCAATGTTACATCATCTATTCCACCTGGTGTCAGTACAGATTCCTGGTGCTTGAGCTACTAACATTCCTAAAATGAAATTTAGTGCACTTCATGCCAGAAGTGTGCATGAATGCTGCTGACACCATTTTGTGACTGAACTAGCTCTGTAGCATCACTGCTGTAGATGCTACAGAACCAAATTTGTTGTCTAGAATTCAAAGGTGCTGCCAGAGATTCGAGAAAAATGTTCAACTGTATGAATGGTACTTTTTTAAATGATTTTAAACATAATCCAAAAAGATAACATGGTTTAGAGGTGCTGCATTGTTTTCTAAACAAATGAATATATTTCTGTCAAAAGAAAATATAAAATGATAAACCTATCCCTTTAAATCACAGGTTCCAAATACACAGTTGCTATTGCTGAACAATAAATTCTGTCATTCTCACAGTGTGCTTACCACCTTGTCCAATTAAAATGTACACTGGTTGACTTTGAATTCCTTCACCTTTGCTTGTACTTGCAGAAATTTTTAAGGAATACTTTTCATTAGCTTTTAAACCTATAAAATGTGAATGCAGAAATAATTTTTAATTAGAAATATCTGCACATACTTCAAAAGACTAAATGTTAAATTAATTTCTGTAATGCCACAAAAATTACCATAAAACTACATTTTATTTAGAGCAAGCAGAGATCCAAGATCTGAAATCAGTAGACTTATTCTATGTGCTAAGACCTGTGTTGCTCAAAAGAAGGGAGCGATTATTTTAAACTTTAATACCTGGATTGAATTCGGAGATAAGAATTAAGTTGTTATATGCAGCTATATTGTAGATATGTGTGCTATGATTTCCATTATGCAGTATTTTCAGCAAAATCATAATTCAGATCTTGAAGAACACTTTTATGATTTCAAGAGAGAAAACAAATCTAATAGGTGTCATCAAAATATCTATGACATCAAAACACATCAGGGAAATCTCACAGGGGCCTGAATATCAAGAAATGTGGCAAAACTTTGTGATAAATTCAGCAAAGCTTATCTCGATGTCAGGAACAATTCGCTGCATCTTTTAACTAGGTTACAGGTCTCTCCAAGATTCTCACCACTCAGTAGTAAGTTGCCAATTAAGGAAGATTATACCTTCTTAACTGCACATTTTCCTTATTAATATGCAGCTTCCTATTCAACCACTCACTTTGAGCAAACCACACTCAAGAATTCTTGACATGGAAGTCAGAGAGGATACCTGCCAAATTCAGCTTACTACTTGATCTAAAAAGCTCCATGTTGGAAGCCAGGCACAAACATCTCAGTGCACACTCCATGTGCACCAGCCACATGCACCCCATATCCATAGATATTGGCATGTGACATGTGCCAGTCTCTATGCACATCTCGGATCCACTCCATATGTGACACTTACAAAGATCTCTGCTGGAGTATTGTACACAGTTGTGTGTGCCACAAAAGAAGGAATGTGATCACATTGGAGAGAGGGCAGAATCAATTTACAAGAATGGTTCTAGGAGTGAGAAACTTCAGTTATGAGGATAATACAGAGATTTTTTTGGACAGAAGGAGGCTGACAAGTGATTGGATGGAGATTTTCAAAATTACATGTGGACTGGATAGATCAGATAGGGACAAGCTGTTCCCAGTCATAAAAGGAATAAGAACATGGGGCATTGATTCAAAGTGATGTGCAAATGAAGTAAGGGTGATCTGAGAAAATACTTCCTGAAGAAAATAAACAAAGCACCTATACTCACATGAAAAATTTTAAACACAAAAATCTCTTTTTACAAATGACAACTGTCAATGATTTAGCTTACCTGTTATAGTGATGGTTAAATTTGTACTGTTTGTAATCAGCATATCACTACTATTTTGAGCTCCAAGGTACAGTGTATAGAACTGAATAATTCCATTAGGAGTTGGTGGTGGTAGAAAGGATATTTCAACATCAGAAGGAGAGTGAAAAATGTACGTGATATTTTGAGGTGCGCTATCTGGAACTGTAAAATAAACGTAAAATAAAAATAGTAAACTGATTTCAAATAATGTTTTAACATATTCAGTGCATATGCTCAAATAAATAAGATAATAAAGACAGTGGAACCTACATTTACAACTGTGGGTATCCTCTGAGGTTGATTGTCGTCTGGCTATTGCCTGCATCTTTGAATGTAGGCCAACTTGTTAACCAGGACAGGCTCACTTTCCCTCCACCCACCTCCCCAAACCACAACCTTATTCCCCACTTTTTAGATAGCCAGGAATTAGGCAGGCAGTGAGTTACAGCAAGAAGAATGATGAAGGAGATGCATCATCACATGTCTTCACACCCACAGTCAAGAGCAGATGCTGAGGATGACATAGACATAGGATGTACGTGGCTGGATCACAAGAGCAAAAGACAGGACGCTGCTCAGTGGAGAGCAAGGCTGCACATGTGTCCTGCACCAGAGGACTTATAAGAGCATTTCAGTGTGGTGGCTTATGGAAAGGTACAACAAAATGCATGACCCTACATTAAAGCTCATGGTAAATGTCAAGGAGCACAAAGGATTTTGGTAACAACTTGGCATGGATCTCATACCCCGTTCTTTTAGCATATAGGTGACCAAGTCCATCAGCGCACTTTTGTAATCAGCCACAATGCAGCATCTACTAAGTAATGTCTTAGTTTCAATTGCAGCACAACTGGTTTCCACCAGATGTCTGAGTGCTGAAATACTGAGGCTATGCATGTCAGCTTGCTGGATTGGAAGATCAGGCTGCTACTACTATCACTGTGGGTGAAAGTGTGCAAAGTAGCTGGCAAGTTATCACAGTAGTCCAGTAATCTGTACTTCAATAGATTATAGTATTGCAGAAGTAAAGGTTTGGGAAAATGGTTTTGGCTCCACGGAGCACAGACTTGCAGGTCACTCTCTGAAAGACATTTCCCACCCTCCCCTCAAACTGCTCAAAATCATTATTCGAGGACATTTGCAGACTCCTTCACTGCACCTCAGCAAATTTCCATCAGCCAATTTGCAGCAACTTGTATAATACTGCATTGAAACAGTAGGACAGGCAAGTGGAATGTGGACACTAAGGAATGCACAAATGTGAATAGTTTACTTTTATCGATGGAATGTATTCATTCTTAAATTTGATTTAGATTGTTTATTTTGTGGTGGCTTTTATTTATGTATTATGGATGCTGTGATGGTCAATATCAGAGGAATGGCATGGCACAGTGTGGGAATTTTGGTGAGTAAGTAATCAGTGTTACAGTGACTGCTGTCACACCTAGATGTGAATTTCATGTTCACTTGGTCAGAAAGGAGCTGTCTAGATCGTGTACTCTCTTCCTCATTCTCCTTATGCTTTTTGTACATTCATTCATGGACTGTGGACACAACTGGTTAGGTCAGCAATTATTACTCATCCTTAATTGCACTTGGGGCACTAGGCAATCACCAGCAGGAGATTTTCTTTCTCAAGTCGACCTGATGCCATGACTCGATAGGCTCCACAGTCAATGTTAAGATTCCCAGACCTACACTCCGCCCAAAGTTTCTCAGACTTTGTAGCAATTCAATACAATGGATTGGCTTGTTGGGACTTATCATCTGAGCATTTAACGATCAATCATATTGCTCCTGTTTCTCTTCGTTCGCCACCAGAGGTTAAGTGGCAGCATTGGTTCGTGTGTTGAGCTTCAGTGTGGGCATCATTGGTTTCAAATCACTAACATTATGATCTGCCTGGTTTGCATTCTGCTGGCAGCCATTCGCCACTTGCTTCCTAATGTCCACACCATTATGGCATCTGGCATGACTCACCCCAGGAGTGCACATATGCATCAATTTTTAAAATTTACGATAAGAATTGGAGTACCTCATTAAGATTCTTTAAAGCAATAAATTTAAATCCTATCGCACAATATACTTAACTATCAATCCATTCGCAGGTAAATTCCTAATCCATTATAATGAACATGTTCTGTCAGAACCCCTCACTGTTATATTAAATTATTAAATTCTGAAGTCATATTCAAAATATAGTTTGTTTAATTTGCATTTTCAAATACAGTGTTAGTAACAATAATAATCCAGTGCTGGGAAAATTTGAGAAAACTAAGTAGACATATGAATATCTTATGATTTGAATGGAGTGGGAGACATTCCAAGCATTTACGACATCGAATAATGTAATGCCACTGGTATTTGGTTATGGGTTCCATGAAACTGTTACTTCAGTGGAACTAATGCACTTATAGGTCACATTAAAGGGTTGATTGCTAAGAACTGTAAAGAAAGCATCGGAATATTTTAAACTGGATGGATTTTGGGTAGAATAAATCTGCCAGTTTATTGTTAACTCTCTGTCCTCACTAATAAATGGATGGCAGGTCCCATTTAAATGGTTAGCGTTTGGGTGAAACAAATCTCCCGGTTGAGCAAACAGTTAAAAACAGATATCAATTTCCACTACAGATGTTTTTTTTATTAGATCAGAATTGTAATCCAGCTGCAGAAAATATGCATGATGTATTGAGCAAAAGTTCTGGTTTTCCATTTTCCAAACAGCAATGTGCTTCCATTTCTTTTTTTGGCAGAAACCTAAATTCTCATTATTACAAAACAATGCTTACCATCGTGTTTTGTCACCAAAAGCACAATTGGAGAGGTTTGATTCCCATGGCCATACTTGGTATATGCTTTAACAGAGATGTTATAGGGAGAAAATTTCTTTAAGTTTTCTAGGTAAATGCTTGTTTCTGAACTGTTCATTGTAACAGAGTCTGTATAATTGGTGTATGTAACTTCATAGTATATAATAATTCCATTGGGCTTCTCTGGAGGTGACCAGCCCAAGTATGCAGATGTTTCAGTTACATTTTTGAAGGTTAAGTTTTCAGGTGGTGTTTCTGGTTCTGAAAAATACAGAGAAGAACATAAATTTGTTTTCTTTGATTGTTTTAGAAATACTTATAACATTGAATGATGATAAAAAAAGTTTAAATTGAATTGCTGCATTATCAAACTAATGTAAGCATGAAAAACAAATTCAAGGATGGTGCTCAGAAAAATGTATTGAATGGAAAGATGACATGCAAGCTAAAAAGTGGGAGCAGTCTACTATAGGCAGATCTAAGTGATCCCACACCAACGGATCAGATCAAAGATCTATAATCCCAGCATTTCCAGTAATGAATAGTATTAATCAACTAAACAACTAACTGGAGAGATAAGTTTCAAACCTATCCTCATTCTCAATGATTGGAGAGCCCAGCACATCAATACAACAAACAAGAATCAATCATTTGCAACCATCTTTAGCCAGAAGATCCAGGTGGATGATTCATCTCTGCATCTCTAGGCTCCAGCACAATTTAAATTTAGCCTTTTCTTTCATTTAACCTATTTTTTTCTAATCAACTTGTTCAGAGACATTATTACATAGCTCTGGAGCAGGTGGAACTTGAACCTGGGTGTCTCAGGCCAGAGGTAGGGATACTCCCATTGCACAACAAGAGCCCTTAGATGTTGGTCTTTAGACAACTCAATTCACTCCTCGGGTATTAAGAAACTGCTGAATACACTGGACAGAGCAAATAGTTTGGATCCTGACTAAATTCCATTCATAATATTGAAAACCTAAGCTTCAGCCATGTTCCTAGCAAAGCTCTTCTTGTACAGGCACAACACTGGCATCTACATCACAAAGTAGAAAATTGTCAGATATATCCAATCCACAAAGATCAGGATAAGAGTACTTAGATTTAGATCAGAAAAAAATAATTTAAGACTGATAAAGTGATTTTTGTCTTCACAAAATTAGTGAGTAATATTTGGAACAGACTCAACACAAAATGGGGATAATAAAACCTTGGGACAGGGTCTTGTGCTGCTCTCAAAGGCAGGAAACAAGGCACGATGGAGAAGATACTAGCAATGAATCTAAACCTCAGGTTCATGACAGAGGGATGCAAGTGTGAAATTGGGTTTGTGGACTTTAAGGCAGATCCAGCTTTACAATGCTATTTTATATGCATCGGCACCTCATTAAAGCTCATTAAAAGTCAACCTTGCCAGAATTATATTTGTCTTCACAAATAAATTCTCCACCAGCAAGCATTACATGTTTTCTGACTGATGCCTTTCTATGGGGAGGTGATACTGTTGTGGTAAAGTCACCAAACTAGAAATCCAGAACCTTAGGCTGCTGTTCTGGGAACTTGGTTTCAAATCTCTCCAGGGTAGACAGTGAAATCTTAATTCAATAAACATCTGGAATAAAAATCTAGGTCTAAAAGCAATTGTCACAAGAAACCCATCTGGTTCACCGATGTCCTTCAGGGAAGAAAATCTGCCATTCTTACCTGATTTGGCCTACATGTGACAACATGACGCTTACCTGCCCTTTGGGCAATTAGTGATGGCCAATAAATGCCAACTGGTCAGCAATGTCCACATCCCATAAGTACATTTTAAAAATATATAAGCGAGAAACTGAAGTTGCTAAACTTTGGAAAGCATTCATCTGTGTCATGTTACGATGAAGACTGAGTGGCACAGTTAAGTTGTATTGGGGATGGAGTATTACTGAGGTAGGGTGAAGTATAATGGACACAGGTTAAGAAGGCTGGCCAAAGGTGAAAGTCTGTCTGTGGAAGGGAGGCAAACTGACAAGAATGGTATGGCCAGAAAGTTTAGCTGCAGATATCCCCCGTGTGAGCCTGAGTCATGCTTGTGGTTTACAACGAGTGAATGCCTATCCTGTTGCCCTTTACATTCAATGCTAGGACATTCGACCCCATAAGATACTAGGTGGGACATTTACCTTCCTTGCTCCACTAATGTATAATAAACGGAGAACTGAATAATTGCATGGAGAAGCTTGCCTGTATCTTCCATGACAATCACTTCCATGCCTAATGCCAAACCGAGCCTGCATAATGAAAAACTTGCTCCTGGAATCACTTAAGAAGCAACTAGCTTTCAAAATCAAGCAGCTATCAAGTCCTTATGGATGGATGGATCAAGATAGGTCACAGTATGCTTGGAAATTCTGTATTACAAACTCACAATGAAAAGCAGAGCAAAAGAACAGTTTAAACTAAGTTTATAGTAATAAGAGAGTTGAGTAAATGATCTAATAACAGGAATGATTGGAAGTGAGAATTTGATTTATTTCAAAACTTACCATCTTCAAGAGTTCGCACAAAAATATCATCTTTATCAGAGACTGAGCTTTCACCTACTGAGGTTGATGCTGTTACCCTCATCTTGTAGTCCGTAAATTTTTTTAAACCTATAAATGTAAACAGAAATATCTGAAGTTTCTGAATTTGTGGAAAAGCAAGTAAATTAATTGCAGTCATTTGAATGGAGGTGTGATGAAGCCCGATACTATTCCCATATTAAGTACGGCAGATATGACCAAAATTATCCTGTGACTTGAGCAATACACGCTAAACATGAATGTATTCTTGAACAGAAGTCTGTTGCATGACTTATTTTTAATGTTAGGACACTGCATGTAAAAACTACTATTGACCCTAATATTCTGTGACCTATGTTATCAGCAGTATTTCAGTACAAGATAATCATTGACAATCACAGAACTATCAAGGTATCAAATATTACAAGCAAATTTATGCAAGGTTACAATGTCAGAATGAAAATACCTACGACCTTTATTTATATAAAGGCTTAATGAATGCTTGCTACACAGTTCTGCTATCTACTCAGTAATGATCTGGATCACAGATGACATTCTCTCGGAAGTACAATTTACAGTTCACAGCATTAAGCCTCCAGATTGTCACATCCCGTCAAGCCACTTAAAAAAATAACCCGAAGTGCACTTATAATTCAAGGAAACTGATATGTGGTAAGGCATAACATGTTCATTACTTCTTTGAAACTGTTTTAAAGAAAAGTCATTGGACCTGAATCATTAAATTTGTTTCTCTTTTCATAGATGCTGCCACTCCCCAGCACTTTCTGCTTCTAGTTCAGATCTCCAGCGTTCACAGTGCATTACTCACCTAACAGCATCAATGCTACCAGTATCACCCAGCATAATGCTGCGACATCCCTTGTTTTCTGTTCCTGGAATTCAGAAACTGATCAATGTACTTTTTTTTTTAAACTTTTGTGCTTTTTGGACTCCCTTCTCATTTCTAGACTGTGTGCATGTGCGTTGTGTAATTATTTCCTCTTGCGTTCAGTAACAGTAAATTCAATGAAGTTTGGCTAAATTTACTGCTTTTAAAAACATAAATTAATTTGTTCTGGAAGAAATGCATCCACAATGGAAGGGATTCTTTATAAATTAACTTTATTGTGACCGACTGAGGGTATTAGTGAATAACAAAGGGGTGGCAGTTCAACCCTTTTCACCTGTGAACCCGAAAACATGGGGCATCTCAACTGGAACCATAATAAATTGAGGAATCTTGTGCACAGTCTGACTGTAACTTTAAACTTCCTGTGCAATTACCATGTAGTCAGTGTGTTGGAACCTCAAAGGAGTCCCAACGCACATATTTCAGATTGTGTTCAGTCTCTGCCTACACAGAAACTGGAAGATTTGGCTCCATAATCACTAGTGAGAAACATCCACAAAGTCTACGCATGCCAAAGTTTGATGAATGGCTATTAAGACAACTCGGCAAACATGGTTGCTAACCCCACAGAGAAATACCCTCATCAAGTAGACCTACCATGGTTTGAATACTTCAACATCTACTTCATCATCATCACCTCTCAGAACAAAAATATCTGCTAATCATCTTGAGCACAATGAAAGCCTGAGCATAAAAGGGCAATGGTGTAACTGATGCTTGAAGCAGTATCTCATGCTTTGCTCGATGCTACTTCCAATGAACTTGTGCTATGTTCGCAATCACACTCATTTATACCTTGTTCTCAAGGATAGAATACATTATCCTTACTTTTATCTAGGATTGAAAGAGTTTTGGCCACAGACTACTTTCCACGATTTTTTAGTGCAAGGTGACCTGCAGCCCAGATTTCTAAATACAGTCCCATTACAGGTGTTTTTCAATGAGTTTTTCAATTTGCCCTTAATAAATAATGTCATAAATCAGGTTAATTAGTTCTAAAGAAAAAGTAGCATGATTCTCATCTTTGCATGTAAGTTACAAACATTTACTTATTTAAAATACCTGGTAGAGTAATGTTGTTACTCATCACAACCTCTTGAAATGCTTCATTTGTGCCTTCCTCCACAGCATAGATAGTGTAATGAGTTATAATGCCATTCGGAATAGCAGGTGGGTCCCATAATATCAGAATAGATGTAGAAGTGATATTTTGATATGTTACATTCTGCACTGAACTTGGCACTAAAACCACCAAAGAAAAATGTTTAGTTAACTTTGAAAGATCTGCGACATCACTTTCATTTCTAAAACAAATATTCTGGTTTCTTTGCTAACGTACCATATTCTTGTGTCTTTAAGGAAATGTTGGTTGGTGGTCCTTCTCCAACAATAGTGAATGCTGATACTCTGATAATGTACTCAGTATAAGGTACAAGTTCTTTTACAACATATGACAGCTGCTCAGATGTATGGTCAATGACCTGGAGACTGCTTTCACGCTCTGCATAAATTAGAGGAAGAAAAACTTGCCCAATCTAACAATTCTCACATTGAGTAAAATTCATAGATGTGTTAGTAGAAAACAAAATAAGCCTCTAAAAATTATGAAAGAAGCAGCAAGAAGAGTCATACAGTCATATAGCATGGAAACAGATCCTTCAGTCCAACTAGTCCATGCCGACCATGTTCCCAAACTAAACTAGCCCCACCTGCCTGCATTTGTCCCATGCCCCTCCAAACCTTTCTTATTCATATATTTATCCGAATGTCTTTTAAACGTTGTAACTGCACCTGCACCCACCACTTCCTCTGGCAGTTCATTCCACACACTAACCACTCTCTGTATAAAAAAAAAGTTGCTCCTCATGTCCTTTTTAAATCTTTCTCCTCTCAACTTAAAAATATGCCCCCTAGTTATCAACTCCCTCACCTTACAGAAAAGACCTCTGCTATTCACTTTATCTATGCCACTCACAACTTATAAACCTCTATAAGGTCACCCCTCAACTTCCTGCACTTCAGTGAAAAAAGTCCCAGCCTATCCAGCCTATTTTGATATGAGCAGTTTAAAAAGCTTTTAAGATTGCCTCACTAACATTAACAGAAAAAACTCATTTTAAATAGAAAAATGATGAAGTGCAAATAAGGGCTTGTTATAAATGATGAAAAATACTTGTAAAATTTATTTGTATTCTATCAACCTGGAATAATGTTGACCGAACCTTCTTTTTCCTCAGTTTAGAAATAAGAAACTATGTTTATGCTGTCAAAACATAAAATCTTTAAAAATGACTCAGATATAGTAGGAACTGCTGATGCTTGAGTTTGAGATAACAAGGTGTAGAGCTGGATGAACACAGCAGGCCAGGCAGCATCAGAGGAGCAGGAAAGCTGACGTTTCGGGTCTGGACCCTTCTTCAGAAATGGGGGAGGGGATGGGGGCTCTGAAATAAATAGAGAGAGGGGAAGGTGATCGTAGAAGGTGGATAGAGGAGCAGATAGGTGGAGAGAAGACGGACAAGTCAAGGAGGCAGGGATGAAGCCAGCACAGATGAGTGTAGGTAGGGAGTTGGGGATCGAGGGTTACGGGGAGAAAGCAGGAGAATGGGGTTGAGAAACCTATCAGTCATGACTGAATGGTGGAGCAGATTCAATGGGCTGAATGGCCTAATTTCTGCTCCTGTGTCTTATGGTCTTATACTAATTACATCACCATATCACTTGGTCATCAGCACATGTTGTCACTACATAACGGAGCTGTGACCTACTTACCATCAGTGGTATTTTGAAGGCCATTAGCCAGAAGCCTCCATTGAGGAGGAAATGGTGAAGCACTTGAACTCAGGGAAATTTCACCTGCCTTGAAAACTGCAGTAACTGATCTTTTGTGCAACACTGATCTCAGCTTGAGAGTCATGTTGATTGCAGGATGAGATTCATAGGGCCCCAAGGAACTAGAGGCTGTTGGTTTAGTAAATGATTCAGTGAATCCAGTAGCAGCTATTGAGTGTACAGTACTAGGCAGTGAAGTTTTAGAATAAATGATTGCAAGTGATGTTGGTTGATCAGGCACAGGTGCAGTCATGCTTTTTTCATGTACAGTAGCTATCTCAGGCAATTCTGAACTAACAGGGATTAGTGCCTCAGCTGGTGAAAAGGTTGATGAAGTCACTGCAGGCTCTAAAGATGAGGAATCAGAAATCAGCTCAGCAGAGCCTTCATCCAAGTCTGTAAACATTGCATCAGTTTTTGAAGTCAATGTAGTGGAGTCTGTAACCAACATACCAGGATGTTTTGGTTCAGTAGAGTTTTCCATATTCATATTCTAGAATTTAAAAAAATGTCATCTCATCAATATACTTTTCAATCATTTAAACAAATAAACAAATCAAGGTTGCATTCCATTGCCCATTCAGTTGTTTAGTCAGAACATTAATATCAAATCTATCCCCTTCTACTTCCCCGATTTACTGGACAATACTTATCCTGATTATCTAATTGTACCTGCAATAGTAATTTCATTTGACTTTGTTTCTACTTAAATAAAACAGATACAGGAAGCAGTTCCCAGCAAGATAAATGAAAGAAGGAGGTGGATCCCAGGTGACCACCACTGGGTGAATAGCGTTTCCTTATTTTAACCTCTCACACTTCTTGTTATCCTTAAACACAGTGGCATTAAGTTCAAGGTTTTATGTTTTATTGTTATTTCCCTTCCCTGGCCTTATCATTTTATGTTATTTAACATTAATTGCTATGTGTTACAGTTTGAGGTTGTCATCTACTCAGCTGACATATCCACCACTAATGTAAAATAAAAGTCCACATGACACATTCATAAAACCAACTGCAACAATGCTGTTTGGCATGAAAGTAGCCAAAACTGGTGTGTAAAAGGCAGGATGATACTGCATGAATAAACACTGGATCAAATTCTGTCAAGAAATCCAAACTGCCCATGCCTGTGAGATATAAATGAAGTGTTTAAGTGGGCACACAGTCCTCAGATCACCAAAGTTGGTTCCCTGAAGTCAGCAGAAACTGAAGTATCCACCATGAGAAGTAAATAGATGTCCCACTGGTCTGACCAGTACTGTGAGCTGAAATCCAGTGAGTCAGGCATCTTTTGGTTCACATTTGACATCCTCTCAGAGCTTCCTACCATGGTGAAATTAGATGAAGAACCCTCAACACTTGAACTCAAGAAGGCTAAATGCCTTTTCAACAGATGGGTGCGCAGCCGGGATAGAATCCCATCCGGATTGCTCAAGCGTGAAAGGTTTGATCCATTGTCCACATTCATGGCTTTGCCTTTTTCTGCAGGAAGGTACGCACTGTTCCACGTGAGATACATGATGCAAAATTCACCATAACATACAAAAACAAAGGCAACAAAGGAGACTGCAACAACTACAGAGGCATCTCACTCCCTGGAGGAAGGGTTTGCTAGGGTTATACTTAAAACTACTTGCAGACCAAGTGTATTTCATTTCCAGTTTTACCTAGCTTTGACGAAAGGTCAAAAGAACTGTGGATGCTGTAAATCAGGAACAAAAACAGAAGCTGCTGGAAAAGCTCAGCAGGTCTGGCAGTATCTGTGAAGAAAAATCAGAGTCAATGCTTCAGGTCCAGTGATCCTTCCTCAGAACTGATGCTACTAGACCTGTTGAGCTTTTCCAGCAACTTCTGTTTGACGATAGGTCATTGAGCTGAAATGATTACTGTTTCTCTCTCAACAACTGCAACCTATATTCTCAGTATTTCCAACATTTTCTGTTTTAATAACAGGCCAGAGCTATGGAAGAGCTACTGAAAAATCTGTAAACATGCCAAAGAGGGATAATTCACCATGGTCAGTTACAGAGAGGCCTATTTATGATTTTGGTTAAGGCTGTTTCACTACTCAGGCAGGGAAAGAAACCTCATTGGAAATATTCAAACAAAGGGTGAGGAACAGATCTGGATTTAGGAAGTAACAGTAAAGGTTCTTAGAAGATAGACAAAACTAGATATGTCTGTCAGTTTCAAGCAAGGGGAGGGTCAATTGTGGAGACAGAAACCTAGGCAATAGACTAGGAGAGAGAAGTCTATGATTTGTTTTTGATTTCCAGCACCCACAACTTTTTTTTGTCTGAAATCTATTGTTGTCCAGGATACTCCTCAGAGCTGAGCAGTAACTCACCACTATCATTTCAATATCCTTCTACTGTATGAAGAGGCTGTTAAATCTGACATTGTAGCCGTGTAGCCAGCTAAAACAATATTCAATCCGGCATGTGATGATATAAAGAGCATATTTATTTATAGATGCCATCTATGAGCCCTCAGAAAATATTTTCCCTTGCCCTTCTACAATGTCTAGGTGGAGTCCCTGGGTCTATAGCTGTGGTGGTGGGAGCCTCTTAAGTAATGCAGCCTATTGGCCTGGAAGATTTGGGCAGTTGAATATGGGAGCATTTATGGTGAAAGGACACAGATTTGCTCTAGTGACTTCTCCAGTTACAGGTTCATCCTCATTGATTACAATCTCCATAGGGTTGGGATTCAGGCAGGGTAGAGGGGGAGGGTCCTGATATTTTTGGACTGCCTTCAGAAGAGATTTTTGGAGTGCCTGTGTATGGTTCCTTCTCTGTCAGGATGTCTGCTGGCACCACCCTGTCTCTTTGAGAGACATCCTCCCCCAACACTTACCTTACATATTTACCATTTCACTGGAGCTGTCAAAGTGGCTGGTTGTGTTACAGGAGCTTCAAGACATAGAACACGGCACACTGAATGCTGCAGAGGGGGTGCAGTTTCCATGCTGATTTTTACCTGCTCTTGAATATTTGGATTCCTGGACAGGTTAGTTACAGGAGGCCCCTTGTCCAAGAATCTCCAGCACAGAAGAACTTTTAAAGGTAAATGGGTCACTTTCAATCCAAGCAGGGTCGGAAACAAATATTTGGGCCCTTGTTCTGAACAAATTATGGTAAATTAGGCTTTAGTCCTATCTGACTTTCTGGAATAGAATATTGTCTGGCATTTTCATTATTTACTTTAACCATGATAAGCAAAATGAAGCTGAATGGAACAAAAAAAACTTACAAATGGTGCTCTGTACACACACATGCTCGGAAATAAAGCAGCTTAATGTTGGTATCTGCCCTTACTTCAATAAACATGTGCTCAGTTTGCCTTTAAAGAGTAATTGAAGAAGTAAACAAGCAAAAGACATGAATATCCAATTCAGGTTACTCCAAGTATTTATTTGAAGACACCCTCCATTAACTTCCACTTCTTGCACCACCCAGGTCATAGTTATTGAGCAGTACAATTTTGACTGTATAATTGTCTGACATACAGATTGTTTACGATATCAGCTTGACTTTATCCAACACAAGAAAGAAGGAACAGAAGACTAAATTTGTAAACCATTGACAGCTTTTTTCCGATGTTTTCCATTCTAGCCCTTCTATGTAGTCTGCCTTTCCCAATGTACCATTCAAAATATTCTTACTATTCAATAATTTGTTTTATATTCATATTGTAATCATATCACAAGTCTAATTTGAAATTCCAATTTCAGGGAACTGTTGCCAAGGTATTCTCTGACTCTGCTCTAATCTACCATCCCTCTGGCTATTATTTCAATTAGACCTAATGCTGTTCTTGGGTTATAGAATCATAGAAAGTTACAGTACAGAAGGAGGCCATTTGACCCACTGTGTCAGTATTGGTCCCTAAGGGGCTATCCAGCTAGTCCCATTCTCCAGCCCTATCTCCATAGCCCTCTAAATTCATCACTTTCAAAAACATATTCAAGTCTGTTTTGAAATCTCCTTTGGAATCCACCTCTGCCACTCTCCAAGGCAGTGCATTCCAAATCTGACTCCAATTCTGAGTCAAGAAGCTTCTCCACATCTCACTCCTAAATTTCTTGTTGACAATCTTGAAATTGTGACCCCTAATTACTGATATACCAACTAGCAGAAACAGAATATCCTTCTTTAGCCTGTCAAAATTGTTCATAATTGCAATAATTTGTTGTGGTCCACCCACATTGATGCAATGGTCAAGAAAGCATAACCACGTCTCTATTTCCTCAAGAGGCTAAGGAAATTCAGCATGTCCACAAGGTCCTATACCAATTTTCATAGATGCACCATAGAAAGCATCCTATTTGGATGCATCACATCATGGCATGGCAAAAGTTCCTCCCAAGACTACAAGAAACTACACAGTGTCATGAACATAGCCCAGACCATCGCGCAAACCAGCCTTCCGTCCATTGATTCCATCTATAAAAGTTTGAATACACATTTGAATAGATTCAAGAACAGATTCAAGGACAGCTTCTTCCCTGCTGTTATCAGACTTTTGAACAGGCCTGTCAAGTGTTAATTCTGATATACCTTACTGCATCTTTTCTGTGGCTGTAACACTATATTCTGTACTCTGTTCTGCTACTCTGATGCACTTTGTACGATATGATCTGTCTGTATAGTACACAAAACAAACACTTTTCACTGTATCTCAGTACATGACAACAATAATGCAAACTCAATAAGGTCACATTTTAATCTTCTTCTCTCCAAGGAAAATAAGCACAATTTCTCTAATTTTTCCTTGTATCTAAAATCCCTCATTCCTGGTATTATTCTAGTAAATTACCTTTGCACTCTCTCCAGGGCTTTAACATCCTTCCTTAAATAAGATGCCTAGAACTGAACACAACACTCCAAATATGGACTGACCAATGATTTGTAGAGGTGTAGCATCATTTCCTTGCTTTTATCCTCTATGTCTCTATTTATAAACTCAAGGATCCTCTAAGGCTTTTTAATAACTGTTTCAACTGGCCTGCCCACCTTCAGCGAATTAGCCCATGAAACCCAAGTCCCTTTGCTCCTTTACTCCTGTCAAATTGAACCATTGAGCCTGTATTGTCTCTCCATGCCTCTTCTACCAAAATGTATTACCTTGCATTTCTCTGCATTGAAAATCATCTGCCAGGTGTCTGCCCGTTTGACCAACTTGTCAATGACTCTCTGAAGTTGATGTCGCTCTGAAGAGATTTAGCCCTCAACACTCATCTTCAAATTATTTCTATAAATCAGAAAAAGTAAGCGGTCCTAACACTGATTCCTTCAGAATACCACTTTCAACTCATCTCCAACCTTAGAAACACTCATCTATACCTACTCTCTATTTCCTATCTTTTAGCTTACTTCTAATCCATGCTGCCAATGACCAACAATCCTGAACATTTCTAATTTGATATCCACCTGCCATGTGGCTCCATGTTAAGTGCCTTTTGAAAGTCCAAATACACAACATTCACAGCACTACCTTCATCTACTGTCTGTGCCACCTCGTAAAAGAACTCATTCAAATTTGTTAGTCATGATCTGCCCTGGACTGTCTGTGAGCAATGCTTTTATGTAAGAATTAATCCATATTAGGCATTCTGCATGCAAATGAAGATAAAGGGAAAGATGATTAAATATCAAATACATGAAGAGGCACATCTACAATGTGTAACTTAACTAATAAAAAATGGAAATTACCTATGTATTACTTAAGTCTATAATGTCCAAGTAAAATAAAATAAAACAGCATACCTGATGGCTTTCTGTCAAGATTATATTTTGTACAGATATTTGAGACTTCTTTAGAAAGACAGTGATTTGATACTGGATAATAATTCCATTTGGTTGGCGAGGCTTTCCCCATTCCAATTTTGCAGATTTGGCTTCAACTTTTGTTGCTTTTAAATCAAATACTTCGCCTGGAACTAAAACAGTGAATTGTTCGAATGTAAACATGTTTCTATTTTGTAAGTTCACTACTTTAGAAGGGTACAGACATAAAATACAGGCTAGGATTTGAGCCATCACAAAGTAATTTTACAAATCTATTTCACATTATGATTTTCCTATTCTGCACTACAGCTATCACAATGTGGTTCAAATGACCGAAAATAATTTTGATTAAACAATAGGATATGACGTTATAACGGAGAGGAAGGATCAGCATCCAAATGCTCAATTCTCAACAGATATTTTAGACTTTGAAAGTAAATTAAATGTGAATAAGCATTTATTGCAAAACAGATTAAAAGCATCACTGGCAAATTGGGAACAGGTTGTTTGTCCACCCATCGAGGTGCACCTTATGTATAATGCTGAAAACTTAAACGGTGACAAGAAATATGAAAATAGAATGCTTTGGTTCACCAATGGTAGAGTGAGCAAGAGCATCTTTATTGCACCAATAAGCCATACAGTTTGAGTCTGAACTTGAATACTCAGTCTGCAATCAAGTAATTGACCTCAATAATATTGCAATTGAGCTGAGTCCACATGAGTTAGGGAGATAAAGATTTTGCTGAAAGTGTTGGAATGTGTGTGCTTCAATATGGGTAGGAAACAGAATTTGCTCTGGTGTTCATTATCATTGAATTCCCTGACCTTTACTATCCTAGATCAATCTTTAAAAATGACCACTGTGATGAAATAGTGAATGGCTATTAGTAAGCATGGAACTATGTCTCTTAAACAGTCAGGAGAGGACAGATGCAGGTGAGAAATGAAAAAGGATGGAAAGCAAAGTGATTTCTATACTTTGAACCAAGGATTGGTCTATCATAGTACCAGGTGGTTTTGCTGAAACCCCAGCTAATGTGGACTGTGATAATGAGTCTATGAAGGGTGACCACACAGTTATGTGTGAAAACCTGAAGTGCAACTGTGTGAACCCACCATACTCCACAGTAAACCACAGTATTTTTTGCTCAAATTTGAGCAATCTCCTTGAGACATGAACTATCAATTTTAACGGGTTAATCACTTAATTACAGCCATTTTAATATGGGTTTTGAAATTTAATTTTATCCCATGTGTCCTGAAACTTGCCAGTGAAAGGAAAGTGATGTTTAATAAAAATTAAAGTGGGGGGGGTGTCTCACCACAACAGGGACCTATGTTGATAAGTACTCAGTACTCATAGCCGTTTGCATTTGCTTACATGAAAGGATTTGTTCACAGTACTCATGCTGACAAATTACTTTATACACATTGGAGTTTTACAGTTCTGATCTTAGGCCTCTGATCTATCCGATCAATATGGGTGTCACATACACTGTGCTCCTATGGACCCCAGCTAAGGACCAAGTTGATGTCCACCAACAACAGAAGCAGCATGTGTAGTAACAGCAGGCTGAGCATCATGAACTACATGAGCAATCAGTCTGCTACTCACAGATCTGCAGCTCCAAAGGAAAGAGATGAACAGAGTGGTGCAGCTCACAAGAGGCCGTATATATGGCTCAGAGGCTTACACACTAGCATCCTACCCGCTTGGTATCCTAAACAACTGGTATCCTATCCCCTACGCACCTGGCATCCTCTACATTTGGCACCTTACCTACCTCGTACTTTACTTTACTTTTACCCCTTTACTTATCTGGCATCCTACCCCTTTGAACCCTACACTCTCCCTGCTGATATCCTACCCAGCTGGCACCCATTACCTAGCAACCAATTCCTCTGTTTGATATCATAACCCTGGCATACACGCCTATACCAGCTGACACCATACTCAGCTGGCATTCTGCTTACCCGGTAGACTACCCAGCTAACACACTGCTAACCTAGCACCCTACCATCTACTTATCTGGCATCTTACCCCGGGCATCCTATCCCATCTACCTCTGATATGTCACCTGACATTCTACTTATCTAGCACTCTCCTCTCCCAGCACCCTAACATCACACTTTTCCTTATGTACCTACAATTTGAAGCAGCTGTCAAAGTTGCTGTCAGAATCTTTAAATTTCAGAATACAGCAATTGACTGCTGTGAAAGGGGGACATAGTTTGGTTCCCTCTTATAGTTCTGCTCAACAGAATAACTGTTAGAATGGAAGTACAGCTGCACATTTCTGAAGTGTTGAGTTAACCCTCTGTGTGAGATTGCCACTCCTTAGAATATCCAGACAATTTTGAGGTATCAATACATTGTTTTAGTTTGTTACATATTCAATTCTCTAAATTACCACTGTATTCTCATCTTGCTTTTACCAATGATTCCCATAGCCTGAGAAATCATGAATCCACCCTTAAGTGACCAAAAAGCATGTTAATATCACTCTTACTGAACAATTAACAAATTGAAATTGCCTACTTGCCTCTCCCATTGGAGTTTGCGTGCACACAGCTTTGTGTGTTGGACTAAAATACAGAAGTCACAGACAACTCAAGCTTTTCCATGATTTAGCTTCCACCTGTGCCTAAATGTATGCACCATCCATGTTAAAAATTCCCCTCTTCATTTTCTTCAAACATTAAGTCAGGGAACTGAGGCATGTGTTCTAATGAAGAACCACTGGACTCAAAACATTAACTCTGCTTTCTTCCTGCAGATATTGCCAGACCTGCTGAGTTTCTCCAGCAATTCCTATTTTTGTGTTGAACTGAGACATCGGGCTGGTTAAGGGGGCAGGATGGAGGGCATTCTGTCAGCATTTGGGAAATTCTGAAAGCTCCTGACAAACATGGTACATTTATATCCAGATTTCCAAAGTGCTGACAAGCTAAAGATCAAGTCTGATGGCTCCCATCAACTGATCAAACATCCAAAGAAGCAAAACATTTGAATCACATTTCCCATAAGAAGTAATCAGAAAACAGCATTTATTTTTGTTCTGTTAATTAGGACTGAGAAACTCTTATGAATAGGGTAGCAACTCTGTCAATGACTGCCATCTAATGGTAGCAGATTAATAATATTTATATTTTTACTTTAATAGATAAGAAAATCCTATAACAGAGCTTGACCATTATTTTCGAAATGTTGATTACGCATTTGATGCAGATTACTAACAAAAGAAATGGAAAGAAATACCATAAAAATTGCCATTTGGTTCACACTTGACTGTCAATTTACATTTTAAACAAAAGCATTTTGATTTTTTCAGATCTGGATCCTTTAGCAAAATTGGAAGCCATTTCTGATGAACAGACTTTTGGAATGAAACAAGAGGAAGCACAGGAAAGTAATGGAAAGTCCCATGCAGTGTCTTGTGCCTTAAAGAACAGCAGTTTATTTTTCTGTTAGACAATTTGCATTCATAACTTAATAATGATTTTAACACCTTCAGACCTTACACACAGCTCCCATGTTCTTTCTCCTTCTGAGGATGGCAGAAGCGAGTTTATGTTGAGAGTAGGTCCCCTAATGGAATACTGTTGGCAGGATGGTCTGTACTTAGTGTCAGTCTCAGTGTCCTTTTTGCTTCTATCAGGTTCTTGGCACCCAGGAACCTTGCAACACATTGACCATTTCTCATGCCTATCTTTCCACCAGGCTCTTCCGCTACTGTTTCAACTATTCACACGCTCTCTGTGCCTCATACAAATACAAGGTACACGTACAACCGTAAAGTCTGGAAAACAGTCCTATCATCACCGTAAGCAGATCATAAGCTAAAAATCAGCAAAGTCTGCAAGAAAAAAGCGTGCTATAATATTAAAGGTGAGCAGCAAACCTCACTTGACCTCATTTAAGAATATTTAACTGATATTGTCTGATGATACAGTAGTCTGGGGAACGGACTGATTCATCAGAACAGTCAATGCCAGTGACAGAGTTTGTGCTGTGTGAACAGTAACCCTTCAATAACAAAACTGAGAGCTTGTACAAGTCTACTTCATCAATCAAATAGCCACAAAGGCTGACCAAAGATGTCTAAACCGAGCAATAAATCAATGAAGAGGAGTGCATATGACTTCACGGAAACCAAACCATTGTCCACAGATTTGCAATATGATCAAAAAGAAAGAACTTCCTGGCTTAAGCATCCAGCATATTGTAAAAAAAAAGGGAGTACCTGTTCCAATTAAGAATATATTGCCTGATCTAGAAATTCGGGATTCAACAGGGCAGAAATTATTTGTTTCAATGGAGCAGCTGTCCTTCAGTATGAACATTCATGAGGTTAAGGATCAACCAGATGATGTTACCAGATAATTTTCTGAGTTACCAAAGGTTCCTTTGCAAATGAAATTGAGATTAAAGGTCCTCCAGATAAGGTAGAAGACCAACAACAAAACAACTTCCTCTGCAAAGGATGTTTGAGAGATAAAAGATCCTTCAGCAGTGAAATTATCCACAGATCAGACCAAGATCAACAGCCCTCAAGTGAAAGACCTACCATTCTGAAGTTGAGAGGATTGGATTATGAGGAGAGACTGAGTAGACTGGGCTTATACTCATTGGAATTCAGAAGAATGAGGGGAGATCTTATAGAAACACATAAGATTACGAAGGGAATAGATAAAGTGGAGGCAGGGAGGTTGTTTCCGCTAGCAGGTGAAACTAGGACTAGAGGGCATTGCCTCAAAATAAACGGAAGCAGATGTAGGACTGAGGTCAGGAGGAACTTCTTCACCCAAAGGGTTGTGAATCTGTGGAATTCCCTGCCCAGTGAAGTGGTTGAAGCTACCTCACTGAATGTTTTTAAGGCAAGGCTAGATAAATTTTTGAACAGTAAAGGAATTAAGGGTTATGGTGAGTGGGCGGGTAAGTGGAGCTGAGTCTCAAAGATCAGCCATGATCTTATTAAATAGCGGGGCAGGCTCGAGGGGCCAGATGGCCTACTCCTGCCCCTAGTTCTTATGTTCTTATGTTCTTATTCTGCCAAATCTATAGAGAGTGTACTCTGTGAAAAGTGTGAAATGTCAAGACCATCTACATTTGTGAAATCAGAGACTTGGAAGGAGATGCAGTAATAGTAAATATGGTAGACTTATAAACGTGGTTTATAATTGGGAGAAATTAATGAGAAAAAAAAGTTTGAGGGGTAATTGTTCACATTACATTGGTCTCATCCATTCTATTGATGCCTTCCAAAGTCTATGGGTGGAATTGAGTTCCACTAGCTTTTAGCTTCTACCTTTTGAAAGGAGTAAATGGATGTGCATTAGCTTCCTAAGTTCCTAGTCATTATGCCTCACCAAATGTATTTTCACTTATTGTTATAATGCAATAAATCTTCATCTTATCCAAAAACAGTGCCTCTTCTGTACACATTTTATGGTGGTGTATCGTCTACCACTAATCATTAGGTGGGCCCAAAACAAAAAGACAAAGGAAGATTTATTACAGCAAACTACCTTAAATAATCCTTACCCATTACTACACAACGGTAGGAGTGACAAATACCAAACAGTATCAGAAGTGATCATCTGGGAAAATACTATGCTGATAATTTCCAGTACTACTTAAATGAAAATCACCTTTTACTCTCAACTTGTTGCTAGATTGGAAGACTTTCTGACATACTTCATCAAGATTTCACCATCAACATTTCTCCTGGGAACTCTCAGAGGGCTTCATGTAAAATTAGAAGATGCTGTGCTACTCTCCTATTGGACAGTTCGTTGGAGTCACCAACAGCAAAGAAATATTTGATCACCAACATCATACTGGACATCCGCCATAGTATTCAGGTATGTAAGGAAATAAAGATGAGGCTATCCACTACTGCAGGAAAGAAGAGCGAAAGGGCCAGGAGAACAAGTAAGACATCATTCCCTTTGGGTTGTTGGATATATTTTCATCTTTCTCCATCAAGACCTCTGGCGTAGTGCCTGAGGTTGCACTCTTACATGGCCCCTGAGTCATGCTGAAACATGCTGCTGTGTGTCACCCAGTGCATGTCAGGTCTTTGGGACAATGAACGTGTGTAGCTCAACTGTACTGCTCCATGAAAATAGTGCCTATTTAGGATTTGAGTTTTAAACTTGTCGGTGTCTGATTTAACACTCGTCAGTTAAATTCAAGTCATCAATTTCAATTGGGACAAGATGGTGTGTTAAATCACACATACAAGAAGATATGTCTGATTCACACAACAGTTATTACCTTTACCTTATCATCAACGTAAGCTCCAGGTCAGTCTTAACTATGAATAAAATTATAAATATCATATTTTTCTTTCCTTTTTTTTCCCTGCTTCTTCTGCCTTGAGCTATAACGTAACAATTTGTGTGTTGTTAGTAGAGCATTTTGGGATGTACTTTATTGTAGCAGTTAATAAAGTTCAGCAGCAGTAAATAGGAAGATCTCACTAATCACTCTCTTTCCTTTTGTCTCGGTGTTTCACATGATCTCTCTTACATATAACCATTATTATAGCATTAAGGGAAGCTTCCATTTCATTGACTTACCAAAAATGCAAAATAAAATGAAAATAATCAAAATGTACTAGTTAGAAGATATATGCTACTACTTCAATGATGTGCGTCAATTTTCCACTACATCTTTTATAGTTACCTTCTGATGACGTAGTGATTTCAACACTGGCTTTTGGTCCAAGTCCAACCACTGTCTCAGCAGTTACAAACACTTCATATCTTGTAAATGGCAGCAGGTTCATAAAAAGGAACATCATCCTTTTGGTGCTGTTCTGTGATATTTTCCCTAAATTTGAAAACAAGTAAATATATTTACCCTCAGTAACTCACACAGAAAGTATCCATTTTCAAAATAAATATGATCAAAGTCTATAATAATCATCAGTTTTGTCACAACACATGTTTTAGGAGTGAATTTGCTAAGTATCTCAGACTGTGAACTAGGAGACAGGGAAAGGTAAACATTGGGTAGGGCCAGGGGTCTGGCCAACCAGTCACCTTTCTGCCACTGCTGACATTTTACTAGAGTTTGCAAAGTCAGCAAACAGAGCCCCTCCCTAAGGCCAAGTGAAGCCCTTCTGTAGCCAAAGAGTAGGAAAACAGGATATTATATAAATAGAGAGTACAGAATGCTGTGGCACAGAGGGATCTAGGTGTTTTATTTGTGAATTTCAAAATGTTAGCAGTCAGTCATAATAAATAATTACAAAAGCAAATGTGATGTTAGCCCTTAACTGCAAAAAGGAAGGACTTTAAAATAGGGAAATCCTGCCAAAAATGCAAGGGTATTCATACCAGCATGCTGAGCGCATTGTGTACAGTGTACTTACTAAAGGAGGGATATGCTTGCATTGGATTCAGCTCAGAGAAGGTTCACTGGTCTGATTCCCAAGTGAAAGAGTTGTTTTATGAGGAAAGGTTGAGGAAGTTAGATGTTGGAGTTTAGAAGAAAGAGAGATTTTACTGAATCTCATAAAATTCTGATAGAGCTTAACATAGCAAATGCTGAGAGGATGTCTCCCTTTATGGAAGAATCCAGAACTAGTAAGCAGTTTCAAAATAAGGGAGTTTCACATTTAAGATGGAGGTGAGGAAGAATATCATCTCTTAGAGGCTGGTTGGTCTTTGGAATTCTGCTCTCCAAACAGCAGTCAAAGCTGACAAATTGAATGTATCCAAGGAAGTGTTAGACAAAGATTGGAAATATTCTAATAGCCACTTAAGGGGCTTCAAATGTCCAAGAGGGTCAAGTCATATTTTTTAATGCATTCATGGGACATGGGTAGACCAGCATTTATTGCACTTCCCTAATGGCCGTTGAGGCGCTGATGGTGAGCTGTATTCTTGGACTGTTGCAGACTTTGGGTATCAGGACACCCAAAGCACTATTAGGGAGTTCCACAATTTTGGTTGCATGATAATGAAGGAACAGTGATGTGGTTCCAAGTCAGGATTGTGTGTGGTTTGAAATAGAATTTACAGGAGGTGATGTTCTCACGTGTCTGTTGCCCATGTCCTTCCAAATGGTAGAGATTACAGGTTTGGAAGTTACTTTTTAAGGATCCTGGGTGGGTTGCTACAGCACATCTTGTTGACGGTACACAAAGATTGACTGTGTCCTAATGGTGCAGGGAGTATATGTTGAAGGTTGTGGATGGGATCCCAATTAGGAGGGCTTCTTTGTTCCAGATGGTGCCAAGCTTTTTTTTTTAATATTCTTAGGGCTGCAACCATCCAGGCAAGTGGAGAGTATTCCCTGACACTCTTGATATGTGCCTTGTAGAGTATGGACAGACATTGCAGAGACAGGCGGTGTATTCCTAGCCTCTGACCAGTTCTTGTAGTCACAGTATTTATTTGGCTGGTCCAGTTCAGGTTTTGATCAATGTTAACCCTTAGGATGTTGATACTGGGGGGAGGGGAAATTCAACAATAGTAATAATGTTAAATATCAACCTAAGATAGTTAGGTTCCCTTTTGCTGAAAATGGTCATTGCTTGGCATTTGTGTGGTGTGAACATTACTTGCCACTTATCAGTCCAAGTCAGGATGTTGTCCAGGTCTAGTGCATGTAACTGGTAAAATACCATTGGGGTGTCTACACCACAGCCATATCGCATCTGCCATCCCACCCAATTTTATATCCCTCCTCCCACTTCCAAAGAGCTCCCTCCTGATACAGAGGGAGAGGGTAAAATTTCCACCATGGAAAAATTGAGAGAAAGGGAAAAAATGGAAGGAAACATTGACAGCCAAGCTGAAATTAACCAGAACATCTAAGCAAGATAAATCAGGTCTTCCTTTCCTCAGAACAGGAATATAGGTTTCCTAGGTAACTTAGCTGTATAAAGTCTATAATAATGGAATTTAACATTTACATCAAAGTTCATACCACTTACCAAATGGGCCATTGAGCTCAACTCTGTAAGAGAATCTTCCTGTAACTGCTGATGGTGGATTCCAATTAATTAGGAATGATTTTGATGTAACCTTACTTACAATTAGGTTTTGAGGTGGATCTTCTGGAACTGCAAACAGTTATTTCACACCTTTATCTCAGCAACCACTGACAATCCACATACACACTAATTATTGTTTCTGGTAAGTTTGTTAATATACTAAATATATAAAACAGCATAGCAATTTAAACACTAACATATTGGGATGGGGGGAAAAGGACAATATCTTAAAACGACATGTGCTAACATTTTCCTTTTAAACAGCATTATATATTGCATTCAATGAACAAAGAGAACAAAAAACAATACGGCAAACAGGAACAGGCCCTTCGGCCCTCCAAGCCTGTGCCAACACATTTTGCCCTTCCATACTAAAACTGTATTCACTTACAGGATCAGTATCCCTCTACTCCCTTCCTATTCATGTATTCATCCAGGTGCTTCTTGAATCAGAAATTCCTCCAACTGGACAGGACAGAAATAACAATACCACTTGGAGGGTCAGGAACCTCACTTAGACTTTAAATTCCAGTGGTGAGGTGGAGTGTGGGGAGATGGGTCGTGGATAGATTTTCCACATGCAATTCCCAAAATTCCATCTCTCATTCTCTCTTGGGTCTTAGCAGAACTCACAGCAGTTAAGAATTTTCCCTATTGTGCTCACATCAGAAATGAAAATGTTTTCATTCCAGGCTTTTAGAACTGAATTTCCTGTAGTGCCAGGGTAACACTATGTGACCTATTGACAAGTGGCAACACACACCTACCATTATGTGATAGTCAATCAATGAATCTATGAACACCTAAAGTGGGTAAAATATGACTACAATTTCTAATTTCATCCTTCAGAAGGCACAGCAGCAACCTGAGTTTAAATAATGGTGGACATATTAGTAGCAGATGGTAGAAATGGTCAGAAATGTGAAATAAGATAAGTGCTCAAGTATAGCCTGGAAGAAAAAAAGTTCCCATAGCCCAATACCCAATACAGACTAACGGATGACAAAACAACAGATTTACTGAATCTACCTCTCAACCTCATCTAGCCATGACCATATGTTCTCCTCCAACAATAACTTAGTTTTATGAAGTGTCTTTAATCTAATAAAACAACCTAAGATACATTGCAGGGGCATGATGATTCAAAATATGACATCTGACCGCAGTGGAGATATTATTTCAGATGAAGAAATGCTCAGTTTAAGAGATAAGCTTAAGGTCTGTCTTAAAAACACACAATGGACAGGCATAGGAATTTTAAACCTTCCAGGCTGGGTAACTAAAAATTGCACAGAGATGGCAGTGAGATTAAAATTGGAAATGCTTACGTGGCCAGAATTAGAGAAGTGCAAGTACGTAGGAGCGTTGCGGAGCTGGAGGAGATTACAGAGATAGGGATGGATAAGGATGCGGAGGGATTTGAAAACAAGGATAAGAATTTTCAATTGAAGTCTTTGCTGGACTGGGTGCCCAATCTAAGTTGAACGATGGAATGAAAGATAAATGCACAAAAACCTCAGAGTTTTGGACAATTTCAAGTTTATAAAAGGTGGAATATGTGAAGGATAGAAAAGTCTAAAAGGTGACAAAGGCTTGAATGGGAGTTTTAGCAATTAATAAAGTTGATGAACTGGGCAGGGATGAAGCTGCAGGATGTTACAGAGATGGAAGTAGACAATGTTAGTGATTCCACAACATCTATGACACCACGGTTGCAAACAGTCTATTTTTGCCTCAGACATTTGCCAGACAGTCGGATGGAGCAGATAGATGGGAAATGGAAATGGAGTCGGGACTGAAAATGGCATCAGTCTAATCAATATATTTGCTCATCCAGCAATGGATGTCAGATAAGAAGTCTGACAATAAAGTAGCAGTGTGATAGTGAGTTCAACAGTTATTGTTTTGAGGAGACAGGACAATACTTGAAGTGAAATCTCAGCTAACCTAGGAGTGAAGGGAGGCCAAGTTGGGTAATCAGCAATTTAGTGGCTAGAGGATTGAAAGAACAGAACATGGGTCTAATGGACAAGATGAGCTCAGAGAGTGTATGAGTGGAGAGACAGGAGAGAAATGAGATAGGATGCAAGTTCAGGGTTAGGGAGGGTGGGCAGAACTTTAATGAAGTCTGGCCAGACAGACAAGGGAGAGGAAGGAAGGTTAGCAGAGTAATCCGATCAGACACTCATGATCTTGGTCTTGATCTTGACAAAGGAGTCTATGATTTCCTTGCACTTAATGTTATCAGTGAGGGGAGAGGAGTTTAAGAAAACAATTTGCAGGAAAGAAAATAAATCAGTGGTTATCTTTGCATTCCAGGATGATCCTAGAGTAAAGAGCAATACTATTACCTGCAGAACCTGATCATACTTGACGTGGTGCAGCCCAATCAAACTCTGGATAGCTACACCAGTCATATTTTTCAAGTTTGCATCCTTTGGACCAAAAGGAGTGGGGATAGTGACTATACCAGGGGAATTGCCAGGGTGAGGAAGACTAGATTAACAAAGCTGGAAGTGAGCATATGGTTGATGCAGAAATGTTGTGGTGTATGGAAGGCCAAAGATTGGACCGGTTTGAATTTTGAAAGCACAGTTGTACATGAATTGGGTGTTATTCTTACCAGAGGCAAATACAGAAGGGAGATAGGCTGGGGCAGGAAGGGGAATGTGGCCAATGAGTGATAAAAGGAGGTGATCGGAGATGGCATAAAATCTGAATTAGTTCCACAAACTCGTGAACCTTAATTCCTCCTCCCAAATAAAGTTCTGGAAATCCACCTTACCCAATTACATGAATTTCCCTCCATTAAAGCATATCATTAAAACAGAACCCCATCCCAAATTCCATTCCCCTAAATTAACAGGCATATTGTGTGACAGGTGAGCATAGTTGTATGGAATTAATCTCTAAACTGCACATGGAATCTTCTCCTTGGTCAAGTAAACACTCCCATCCACACTGACCAGTGCTTTAGTGATAGGAGGCTACATTCCCCACTCCAACCATCACCTAGATAACAGGATCCACACCCCTCAGCGAAACAGCTATCACTCGCCTCCCACTCCTGTGCAGTGAATATTATTTTACCTTTTCTGAGCATGTGATTCACTCAGCATCACTTTGCAGACTGGAGTTAAACTTCCTGACCCTTATTCCATCTATACCCATCCATCCTTTCTCACCACTCTTCCTGTTTCCTTCTTTATCTCCTACATGTTTCTTCCCTCTCCGACACTCTAATTCTCCTCCACCACTCATGGTGTAATTAAAATATGCATGTGAGACAACCAAAATTGTACACAGTACTTCAACTCGGAACAAATAAGGCCTATAAAGTTCACCACTGGCTCCTTATTTTTGTGTCAATGTCTGTAGATAGCATTTTTAAAATATTTTTATAGTGTTCCTTCATTTGCCACTACTTTATTTTCCCAATAAGCTTTTAAGTCCACTCACATGTTTCCACAGATGCTAAATACATAACAGTACACATAAACAACTTAATAAATGCATAAATTAAGCATACAGTAATAGTATTACTTAAGCTTAAAGCATTTCTAAGGATAAGTAACATGTTCACATTTTCCTATTTGATTTGGAAATGTTGCAATGAGTGTACAAAGTAATGTGCATTTTTAAATATCCACAACGTCTGTTAAAATCATCATAAAATATTCTCTTAGCACTTACGCCATTCTGGAGTTCTAAAGAGAGTGCTTGCTGTCTGGCCTTCTCCCTCTTTTGTAAAGGCAGATACTTCACACAGATAGGTGGTGTACGGTTTCAGTTGATCCACCATAATGCTGGCAAACTCAACTGATGTGTCGTTTTCTATTAGACTTTCTGGTGTGGCTGTTAAAAATGCATCACTGGTAGGTGGAGAAGACGAAACCAATGTTGCAGGAGTGGTGCCTGTTGAACTATCATCCTATGTAAGAAAAATCAATGTTCATTTACATGTTAAAGTATATCAATCATACCTCAGTATTTAGAACTGTACAGAAAGATGGGTTCCTTACTAAAAACGTGTTGAAGGGTAACTACCTGATCACTGGTTTATTCATATTCATGTCAGGACAAAAATTGACAAATAGCTAGATACAAATAAATTCAGGCTATTTTAGTTAGGATCTACTATGTGGCATTTACAAATAAAATGAAACATGAAAATTGTTCTTTCTTAAATCCATCAGGCTAGGTTAGCTGGCTGGATAGCTGGTTTGCTATGCAGCATGATGCCAACAGCGTGGGTCCAATCCTGTACTGGCTGAGATTACCATGAAGGCTCCTCCTTCTCAACCTCTTCCCTTGCTTGAGATGTGGTGACTCTCAGCTTAAACCACCACTAGTCATTTCTCTCTAATGAGAGAGTTGGACACGGGTGACTAAATTTACTTTTACTTCCAAATCCTGTTGCTCACACTTGGGGCTAAATTTAATAGAAATATTAGTAATCCTGCCCACTGCAGAGCCAGTAGCAATACTAATGGGATAAAATCCCAATGAGGAATTTATGTGTTTGCCATCAAGGTTCCCAGAGCCTTCACGACAAAGACTGCTGGCTCCAAGATCCCCTTGTCCTCACGTATCACCCCATCAACCTCCAGATTCAACGCATCATTCTCCGCCACTTCCGCCACCTGCAATCCCACCCTTATCTGCCTTCTGGAGGGACCGCTCTCTCCGTGACTCCCTTGTCCACTCCACACTCCCCACTAGCCCCACCACCCCTGGCACTTTTCCCTGCAACCGCAGAAAGTGCTACACCTGCCCCTACACCTCCCCCCTCACCCCCATCCCAGGCCCCAAGAAAATCTTCCACATTAAACAGGTGTTCACTTGCACATCTGCTAATGTGATATATTGTATCTGCTGTTCCCGACGTGGCCTCCTCTACATCGGGGAAACCAAGCGAAGGCTTGGAGACCGCTTTGTGGAACACCTACGCTCGGTTCGTGACAAATGACTGCACCTCCCAGTCACGAACCACTTCAACTCCCCCTCCCACTCCTTGGACAACATGTCCATCCTGGGCCTCCTCCAGTGCCACAACGATGCCACCTGATGGCTGGAGAAACAGCACCTCATATTCCACCTGGGAACCCTGCAGCCCAATGGTCTCAATGTGGACTTCACAAGCTTCAAAATCTCCCCACCCCCAAACTCATCCCAAGACCAGCGCCCCCTCTCGTTCCCACCTCCTTGACCTGTCTGTCTTTTCTCCCACTTATCCGCTCCTCCCACCTCACTGACCAACCCCCAACCCCATTTCCTGCCTACTAGCTCATCCCCGCCTCCTTGATCTGTCCGTCTTCCCTTCCACCTTCCCGCCCCTCCCTCCTCACTAACCAATCCCCATCCCAACTCCCGACCTACGCTCACCTTTACTGGCTTCATCCCCGCCTCCTTGACCTGTCCGTCTTCTCTCCACCTATCTGCTCCACGATCCACCTATCATCGCCTCCCACTCTCTCTACTTATTTCAGAGCCCTCTTCCCCTCACCATTTCTGAAGAAGGGTCCAGACCGGAAATGTCAGCTTTCCTGCTCCTCTGATGCTGCCTGGCCTGCTGTGTTCATCCAGCTCCACATCTTGTTATCTCAGACTCCAGCGTCGGCAGTTCCTACTATCTCTGGATCCAAGAGCTGTTGTCCAAACAGAGGCAAGCAGCACTCTAGCACCCTCAGTGGCAATGGACAGGCGGGTTCTGGCAAGTGAGGCACACCACGTGTTGGTCTTTGTCATTAGTTGGGCACAGGGTGCTGGAATAGAAGCCTCCACTTGCACCACAGCCAGCCAACAATAAACCTATTGCCGTTGCAAGTGGCATTAGGCCCCACCACCCCCTAACTGCCATTGATAGAATAACTGATGCCCTTTGGTAACCACCAATTAGCTACAAAGGCCTCATTTGGGCACCTGACAGGATGGTTGCCCTCAATATTCCTCACAACTCACCACAAGATGACAACAGGTAGTCCAACTCATGGTTTCCCACCATTCCATAGAGGGCATTAAATTTCAGCCTCAGAATTTATTAATCAAATACTGACATACAATATGAGTAATTCCTTTGATTTAAAATCAGGCATTCAATAAACTGCAAGATGAACTAGCTTCTATTCAGTCCATTGCTCTGTTGATAGAACTATTCAATGGGAATATGTTGAATGATACATGTTTTACAACAAAGTTAAAGATACATGTTTTCATATTTGAACCTCGTTTTTGGAGAAAGTTCCATTACTAATATAATTTCCATTTCTTGTAGAAGTAATTAGTTTCATCTTCTAAGATATTACTTGCTCTTCTAATGTTAACAAACATATAAATTATTGAAAGATATGACAAACTACATCTGATCTTACCAAATGTTATATCACTGGGGTTAACCATGAATAAGTCCTACATTCTACCTTTATGAGTATGGATAATGGGAATTTTGAATGCATCTGAAGTTCCAGAGTACAAGATTTAAAAAAGTATATATTTACAGCAGGAAACCCTTGCATATAATCTGTTATGCGAACTCGTATGTAAAGGTATCACCAAGATTAAACCACAAAATTGTTATAAATGTAGATGGATGAATAATGAGATAGTAAGGAGACACAAATACACGTTAAATGATGATGCTATAGTTTCCTGCAGATATTGGAACATCATGGGCTCCAAAGAAAACTATATCCAACTTCCACTAAAACCAGCAAATAAAAAGGACCAAGCAGAAACGCAGAGCTACGGAACTGCAGATGGCAGTAGACTATCGGTAAATCTCATTTCAACGTGTAATCTTAAAACAAACGGAAGGATTAGAGGCAGAAGCCCTGAAAAGAATGATTGCAGCAATTTTCTGGTCAAATTATCTCATGTGGAGGTCAAAGTTATATCATTACATCTCATGCACACCACAGTGCAGCAAAGCAAACAAGAACAGATTCACTTGGGAGACCTGATAGAAGGCAGTGGTTGGACAGAGTGGGGAGAATACTAAAAAGTACAGAATCAAACAGCTGAAATAGTTTGACTATTTTTTTCTACATAATGTTACATGGTAAGGACAGGCCAATTTTGGGGACTATTTACTGATCTGCATATTTTATAATAGTATATTACAGCACAAGAATTTAAAAAATAATTGGTAGATTTAAATTATGATTTTAATATATTGCAAAAAATCCTAAATGTGTTTTTATCTTTTCATGTTGCCAAGCATGATCTTTGCATACAATATCATACACTATTAAAATGATTTCTGTACTTTAGCCAGAAGAATATTAAGTACATACCTTGAAACACTTTTCACCTACCTCACATTGTGGTAATGTGTTTGGGAAAAGGGTATCGGCATTCACTGATATATTCTTTGATATACGTCCACTTCTTACAGACTTTATAATTATACTGAAATATGTAATTTTCCCATTTAGTCGTTTAGGTAGAAACCATGTCACATTAGCAGTTGTGTGGTTGACTACTGTTGCAGTAAGAGATGAAACTGGACCTGGAGCTAGGAAATAAGTGTTTGAATATATAAGGTGAATGACCTGAAAACTGTTCCCTCCACATGTAAATTTTTCAACAAAATTCTAATTCATATATCCTAATGAAAGGCATGAATAAAATAATCATATATCACATTAAGGTGTGAATATTATCAAACAAAACTATAAGTTATGCAATCCTACTGATATATTCTGCTACTATTTTAACATCAGACCCCATTTACACAGCCCTGGCAAGCAAAAATCAGAGCACAAGCAACAAAAAACAGGATGATGTCCAGCTGAATTTAGGTGAATCTCATGACTATGGAAGCTCCTGGCAACAGAAGGAGTAGATGGGGATCTTTAGTTTTAGCTGAAACTGCTGAGCAGATTAAAAATATGCAGGAAGGTTGTGTAGAACCATCTTGATTATTCTTCCTGGTAAATGGCTCAGAAATTTCATGTGAATTTTAGGTTACGTGATATGAAATAATGTGAACAAACAGAGTTTTCTGGTGAAATACAACCTATTCCATATTGTTCCACTATTCTTTCATTTTGGCTTTTCCAATATTACACTGGATGTATTATTACCACGCAGGTTGATCATTTCTTCATATCGACATTCATTTTTGGATTTGGCAGGTTTTTTTGCAGCTGGATACCCTTCCAGCCTCTATTCCTCTCCTTTTATTGACATTGAGGACTGGCATTTATAAACAATGGCTTGCCTGCAATATGGCTGCGTTATATTGTTCTATATATTATGGAAAATGACAAATGCAGCAATCCACTGATGTTACTGGACTAGACTCACTACACTGCCCAACAATCACTGAAACTAGTCAGCATGAAATTTCCTTTAATAGGCTGTATGTGTTCATGCCTCCAGTTAAGAGTTCACACACACTTCCTGTGGGTAATGTAAAGAAATAAAAACCTGTTATTGATTTATTAAAAAAAATCTTGCAGGATATATTGTCTTTCTTCATCTTCATATGGATACAATAAGTTAGGGTTTTTTCTCTGACTGTTCTCTGAGAAGTATTAGTGTATAGAGTTGCAACCAAAATGGTTGCTTATGTTTAGAAATATTGTCCTTCCCCAACTCTATCCAGTAAGAGTTTTGTATTCCATTCTGGTGAGTTAAGTCTCATGCAGCTTCTCTGTGAATGAACTAACCCAACAATTTACACATAAACCCCTTTGAAATATATAAACAAACTTTCTTGTCTCAACCTCATGAATAAATACAATTTCATCAACAACTGCATCTCATAATTCCAATTATTAAATATCATAAATAACCATAGTTTCCTACTTGCTTGAAATTATTTTAAGTAGGTCAAAATTAACTTCGCAGCAATGAAGCGACCCATGTCTTGCAGTGGTAATGATGGTGAAATAGTTAGACTTCACCATTGTTACTAATCTGGAACTAAGAGAACTGTTATTAGCACTGGATAATGTGGACATCTGAAAGCTGTTGTCAGTGATTCTCACTTCTCCTATAGAGTTTGCTGTTGACTTCCCTCCTAAGCATGTAATCCTTGAGTAATTAGTGAATAGATGAGAACTTTCACTTTTATGTTGTTAGATCACCTTTAAAAAACACTGAGAACATGACCTTGTTGAATCAGGTGCACCTGGGTTGCCAAAAGTCTACTAAATTCATAAATTTTACCTTTCGTGGCTCCGAAAAGCTAATTTTGTATATAGATAATATCATATTTTTTTTTTAGAAACACATATTTTGAAAATAATACAGTTTAAAATGTGTAATATTTTAGATCCATTCTTAATCCAATCATAATAATTTTATTTCCGATCTGAAAACAAAAATTAAAATTGAAGGATACTTTCTACTATATCTTGGTTTGCTAACCGTGAGAATCTTTTAATGTGTTTGGCTGCTTGCTTACGTCACTGCCACTGGATAGTTAGATATCACCTTGGCTTGATGCCCCTTTTATTAGGAAAGAGAAAATTTGTGGCGCAGAGATCAATAGACTAGGCTAGAGGACACAGGTTTAAAATAATTTGAAAAAGAATCAGAAGTGAAAGTATGAAATGAGATTTTATTTTACATGATCAGGAAAGCCAGTCTGAGAGGGTAGTGGAAGTAGGTTTAATAGTAACTTCCTCAAAAAGGAAAAGAAATACAATGATTAAAGAGCAGGGGAGTGGAGCTAATCCAATTATTTTTGTGAACTGGTGAAGTCAAAATGTTCTGCTTTGTGCTGTACAATTCTATGAACCCAAATATTTTTTAAGACAAAATCAGCAAAATACTGAAACATGTGCCTTCTTTGTTCTTCTCTGATGCAATTCAACGATTGGTGACATTTTAAATACCAATAAGTTGAAGTAGTGTAGGATGGACACAAAAATGCTAACATAATTGGACTGAACTTACCACTTTCTGCAGTTACAACTTTCCGAAAAGTACTGAAAGCTCCAATGCCAGCACTGTTTTCAGCTGCAATCTAATAATATAAATATAACAAGTTTTAATCTGTACAGTTTCAATAGAAGATATAACTTGGTAAATTGATTTATTAGTAATCTATAAAGAACTAAATTGTTAAGACAAATGGCCACATAATTTGAATTTATATTCGAAGAAAATTTCAGTAAAAGAGTACAAATACATAAACAAGTCAGTTCCATATTCTACAACATAATTAATAATATTCAGATTCAGTGAGCAATTGTAAAATTTGAAGTGGGACAGATATTGCTTCAAAGCTAGTTAATACTAAGCAATCAGAAATAGTAGGAACTGCAGATGCTGGAAAATCTGAGATAACAAGGTGTAGAGCTGGATGAACACAGCAGGCCAAGCAGCATCATAGGAGCAGGAAGGCTGACGTTTCGGGCCTAGACCCTTCATCAGAAAATGCCAGGTTTGTACTGGACTTCATTTAGCAGTGAAGGTTTTGACTAAACATCATTAAGTATTAAGTAAGTACCATTTACTGGCATAATTTTTGTTTGAATCAATACATACATTTTTCCAAAACATTTTTTTTTCACTGAAGCAGGAATGCAATTTAATGATATGAAACTTTAATAACTTCTGTAGAGACAGCATGTTCTGAACGTTTTGTACTCATCCCAGTTGAGCAATCCCAATACAGCTTCCCCTGTTACTCGAATTGCTGACAAAAATCTATAGCATCTCAAAATTAGAAGAGGCGTGAGGTCATAATATACCTTAACTAAATCCGTCAACTCTTGCAAGATTTTAGCATCTGGTGCCTCAGAGAAAGTTAGGATCCTAATAACTGAAAAAGCTGTGGGTCCACAAGCTGTCAGGAGAATTACTCAGAGATAGCAGGAAATGCCGATGCTGGAGTCTGAGGTAACAAGGTATGAAGCTGGATGAACATAGCAGGCCAGGCAGCATCAGAGGAACAGGAAAGCTGACATTTTGGGTCTGGACCCATCTTCTCGTTGCTTTTCATCTGCTCCAATGTCATTTGCCCAGAAAAAATAACAAATTCTTTCCACATACTGAACCCAGTCTTTGACAGCAGGATCGAATAAGTCAAGCTTCCCAAATAACAGCATGATGTCAGAAATGCTCACCCCAACTCAAAAACAACTGTTGCAGGCAAATTTCTTCAGGAGCATGCTTTTCTCTCATTACCACTGAAATAACTCCACAGAGACCAATATCCCATCACCAAGTCACCCCTTGTTTATACGCGGAAAGTCCTTGTCACTGATTGAGCTTCCTCAGAGTTAGCTCTCAGGTGAACAGAACCTCTGACACTCCTGTTTTCATCTGTCAGCCAGCACTCCCTGATTGGACCAAATTAACAGCCCCAATCAGGGAACTCATATTCTATGAGGTTCACCTGGCTGACCTCATTATAATCACTTCAGTACACATTCTGGTAAACCTTAAAACTATCTTCACTTTCTTGCACAAAATACGGCTGAAGCAGGGTCACCAAATAATTCAACCGTACTAGGAGCCAGTGTTGTGTAATGTAGTGAAGTGTCCTCCTTTCAGAGTACCGAGCCCACGAAAAGCAGCACTGAAGCAAGCTGAGTGAAGGCTACTAAAAAAGTCAATGGCGTGCAACTGCGCACTGATTTTTAAAAATGTTTTTCAGGTGATGTTGGCAGAGCTGGCATGGCTATCATTTAGTGCTCATCCCTAACTGCCACAGTTTGAACTACCCCAGTCATATGGTGCAGGTGTGCCAATGCTGCTAGAGATCTGGTTAACAGATGAGAAAGAAATACACTGTTCTGCATAAGATTACCAAATTAAGAGTGTTCAGACAAACATTGATATTATAACTTGGTTTTAAAATGCACATTAAGATGCATTTGATTTTAATCTCAGTGGAGCTCCAAAAAGGAACAAAATGTATGCTGGTAGCTTTTAACAGATTTTTCAGTTACACAGGTATGTGTAGTAGGTCACTCCAAATTGCTGCCAAGCCATTTTTTTTTGACAAAGAATAAATAACAAGTACAATGGCATGGTAAGGAATTTGCAGGTGTGATTTTCAGATACACATGTAAATTGGCTGTTCAGGACATTTTGGTCTCTTGCATTTTTTTTCATATTCTTCATTCTAAAATTTGTCCCCATTTTGTAATATTGTATGGGAAGGCAGCAAGATGGTCACTTGACAAGTTTGAGCCAGGTTCATGTAAACATGAATAAATGAGACTTAGTCTGAACTAAATTTAACCTGACATCAAAATGACTGAATTTCAGATCTATATCTTATGTTTGATATGCATCTTTCTGGAAATTTTACATATTGCAATGGAAGTTAATGCAATTAGATTCAGGAGGCAATGACCTAGTGTTATTATTGTTGGACTGTTAATACCATATCATAGAATTCCTACAGTGTGGAAACAGGCCCTTTGGCCCAACAAGTCCACACTGACCCTCAGAGCATCCCACCCAGACCCATCCACTATAACCCACTTAAGCTACACATCCCTGAACATTACGGGAAATTTAGCACGGCCAATCCACCTAACCTGCACATCTTTGGACTGTGGGAGCAGAATGGAGCACCCGGAAGAAATCCACATTGACATGGGGAGAATGTGCAAACTCCATACAGACAGTCACCTGAGGGTGGAATTGAACCTGGCGCTGTGAGGCAACAGTGCTAACCACTGAATCAACGTGCCACCCTGGTATAGAGACTAGGTAATGTTCTGGGGACCCGAGTTCGAATCCCACCATGCCAGACGGTGGAAGTTGAATGTAATTTTTTTAAAAATGTAGAATTAATAGATGACCATGAATCCACTGTCGATTGTCGGAAAAAATCCATCTGGTTCACTGATGACCTTTAGGAAAGGAAACTGCCATCCTTACCTTGTCTGGCCTACATGTGATTCCCAACCTACAGGAATGTGGCTGACTCTTAACTGCCCTCTGGGCAATTAGGGATAGGCAATAAATGCTGGGCTGGCCAGTAACACCCACGTCCAGTAAATGCAGATTATCGAACTTGGGAAGAACAATGAAGCTAGGCATGACACTATAAAAAGAAATTGTATTTCAGGTAACAACATTTGGGGCAGAGTCCAGGGAGAAAAACAAAGAACTTTTAACAGCAGAACTGAAGTGCTTAGTTTCTGTTTCTGTCTCTCTCCCTGTTCCTCTTTGCCTCTTGAAAAACATGCCTTGTGATAAATTGAAGTAACATCTGTTCACCACAAACTCAAAGATATTAATTAATTTTGCTCCTGCAAAGGATAGAAATCATCAATTAAGCAGCTGTGGTCTCAGGTTAAGCCCAACATCTTAAGGACTCTTTAAACGACATATTCTTTAACCTTCATTTCATATGAGATGCTGTCCCCTTTTCAAAACCTATTCATGATTTTGTGTGCAGTTGATGTTGTATTTTATTCTTTTGCTCGGGATTAGTAAGCAAGGAAATTCTTTTTTTTTCATGGAAGAAAATCCAATAATTAGCTCCTTCATTTTTGAACTGTCAATTGTGTTATTTGAAGAATAATACATCTATGCGCAAAGCGAACATTTTAAAACTGTTGCAGTTAAACAATGTATTAACTAGATGGGACTGATCCATCTTCCTCACCCTGCATGAAAAAACTAAAAACTAACAAAAGAATTGCAGTTGGCACACCTGGTTGTAACACATGTCAATCTGCTGGAGTCTTTCCATTGGGAAGGTGGTAAACGAAGTTGCTTCAGCAAACAATGGCTTATCACTGCAATAGTGTTTAGCTAATTGGCTAATGCTACTGCTACTGTGGCCTTTAATTATCTCAGAATAAAAATTCAGTAGTGACATTCATACCCAATGGCAGTGCAGAAAATAAACTCAAAGCTGTAAACTTTTACAGCGAGCACATTCTGTAAAATGAAAACCTGTCAATTCAACTTCCACCGTCTGGTATGGTGGGATTCGAACTCGGGTCCCCAGATAGCAACATGAGAAATAACTCAAAAGTAGTTTCTTTCTGACATGCAGCAAGAAAAAAATCTATTTACCCGAATCTTATAAGCTGTCCCTGGTTTCAGGTTATTAAGAAGAAATTCAGGTGTATCTGCATTTGTTGAAACTTGGATAAAGTTGGCTTGGTGTACAGGACAAACCTCTTTGTACTCTATTCTATAGGATAAAATTCTTCCATTTGGACGAGAAGGTAAGCTCCATGCCAACATTATAGCTGTAGCGCCAATGGGGCCTACTGTAAGACCATCTGGAGAAGCTGGATCTGCATTGAAACACATTGATAAATGATGAAAATTCACAATCAATATGCTTATAACATATTACAAAAAAGTTTTGAGTAACCTTAAAGGTTAAAAAAAAAATACAGATTAAATATCAATCATATTTGTGAAGTCTCACATCTGGAACATGTTGTCTACGAAAACATCAATATCAGGCAATAGATGTTCTAAGACAAAATGACAGAAAACAGAAATTCCTCCCTGTATAATATACAGATGTACATATTGGGTGGAAGCTTCCCGCCTGCGTAACAATGTGGGCAATGGTGAGAATGTTGGAAGAATTATGTGACAGGGCCAGTGAGGAGCTTCCCAGCATCAGAGCAACCATGTTGAACAGCAAAATCAAAATGAGATTCCCATAATGGGGGCAAGAAGCTCATCTGTATGCCCTAGCCTACACTTACATCCTCATTATTACCTAATCTTACCTCATTAAAATGTAGTTTCCCATTCTCCCACCTGCCTGGTGGAAACCAGATGGTGACAATGCCCAACATGATAGGCAGAACGGTCACTTGGTGACTTCAGCTTGCTGCTTGCTCCTCCAGCCTCCATCAGTCACTAACGTCTCAGGACACATTCCATGGGCAGGGACCACACACAGTCTCTTTCCACAATGACTTCCAGGTTCTCGTTGGCAAAGTGGGGTGCCAATGTGCCTCTGCCAAAAGTATCTGAGGAAATTGGCAAGAATTGTGCAGGGCAGCTGTGAACTGTCCGCTAGATCAAATGCATGGCTGGGCTTTCCCAGCTTCCTGCCTTCCAGTGCCAGGAAATCAGGAATGTCCCAATAGTGGCTAATCCTTCCACCTGGAGTGAGTGGGACAGTATAACGAACAGTGCACCGCAGGGGATGGTGCAAAATTTATGAGGGGAATTTGGGACAATACTGTAAGAAAACTAACTAGGCCTTGGAATCCCTCCACGAAACTTATAGAAAATAGCACTTGGACAATTTCCGGTAAGCTTCAAACGGATTAGAACATCTTCATAGACAATATGTGGCATTGGTAGAACATTAACAAAGTTAGTAAAATTCGTTCTTGGAATTTCTAAATCATAGAAGCCCTACAGTGTGGAAACAGGCCTTTCATCCAAAAAAGTCCACACCGAACCTCAGAGCGTCCCACCCAGACCCATCCCCGTATAACCCACCTAATCTACACCTTCCTGAACACTATGGGCAATTTAGCATGGCCAATCCACCTAACCTGCACATCTTTGGACTGTGGGAGGAAACCGGAGCACCCAGAGGAAACCCACGCAGACACGTTTGTGAGCTGTTTCTGATTATTCAATGTTTTATTTGTAATGACCAGGTGAGGAGCTGGAATTTAATTCCTCTCTCAATAACGAACAATACTGCACAGGAACAGGCCATTTGGTCCTCCAAGCCTGCACCAACACAATTTGCCCTTTCATACTAAAACTGTCTTCACTTACAGGATCCGGATCCCTCTATGTCCTTCCTATTCATGTATTCATCCAGGTGCTTCTTGAATGCCGCTATTGTATCTGCTTCCACACCTCCTCTGGCAGTTCATTCCAAGCACTCACCACTCTTTGTGTGAAAAATGTGCCTCGCACATCTCTTTTAAACACCACCCCCACCACACCTTGAACCTGTGTCCCCTAGTAATTGACCTCTCTGCCCTGGGAAAAGCCTCATACTTTCCACTCTATCCATGCCATTCACAATCTTACAAACTTCCATCAGGTCACCTCTCAATCTCCTGCGTTCCAGTGAAAACAAACCCAGTCTATCCAACCTTTCTTCATAGCTAAAATCCATCATACCAGGCAACATCCTGGTATACCTTTTCTGTACCCTCTCCAAAGCATCCACATCCTTCTGGTAGTCTGGTAACCAGAACTGTACACAATATTCCATAAGTTACCTAACTACAGTTCTATAAAGCTGCAGCATAACTTCCCTATTTTTATACTCAAAGCCCCTTCTAATGAAGGCAAGCGTGCCATAAGCCTTTTTTACTATCTTATCTGTCTACGCTGCCACCTTCAGTGATCTGTAAACCTGTACATTCAGATCCCTCAACATATCAATACCCCTAAGGGTTCTGCCATTCAGTGTATAATTTCCATCTATACTTGACCTTTCTCACATTCGTTCGGATTAAACTCCATCTGCCATTTTCCTGCCCATGTCTCCAAATGATTTATAGCCTGCTGTATCCTCTGACAATCTTCTTCAATATCTGCAATTCAACGAATCTTTGTATCATCCACAAACTTACTAATTAGACAAGCCACATTTTCTGCCAAATCATACATGTTGGTCATGAACAGCAGAGGTCCCAGCACTGATCCCTGTAGAACACCACAAGTCACAACACTCCATTCTGAAAAGCATCCTTCCACCACTGCCCTCTGTCTCCTATGACTAAGCCAGTTCTGTATCCATCTTGCCAACTCACTGATACCATGTGACTTCACCTTTTGTACAAGTCTGCGATGAGGGACCTTCTCAAAGGCTTTATTGAAGTCCATGTAGACAACATCAAACACTTTTCCCTTATCAATCATCTTCATCACCTCCTCAAAAAACTCTTAGTCAATCGCATAAATATTTTGTTTCCTTTTAGTACTTAGCAAACATACTTCAATCATGACAAGTTCACTAGAAAATGAAGGATTCAATTACTAAGATTTTCTTCAATGACACAAAGAGGAATTTTATTATCTTTTAACCTTGAGAAAAACAATTTTAAAAGTATCATGAAATAATCAGACACAAACACAGATAGTAAGTATAAAGGGAGATTGTCTGGTACAAGTAAGAAAAGGTAAAGGTTACAAAGTTTTAAGTCTAAGGCTGCAGTTGATAATTATTGACTATATCCACAGCAGTAGCAAAATCTGTAGATATCAAGTTCTTGATGACTCTCCACTGCGGGCTGTTTTTCAAGGCAATGAGAAAAAAGTGAATTCCAGCCTTTGTGTCACAGATTCATTTTTCCTTCGCTCTGCTCTGGTGACCCAAAGCAACTGTTGAAATATGGTTCAATGGGTATTTCAGAGGTCAGCTCCATTGCCTTTCTAAGCTGAATAACTTGCCTTTCATTTCCCAATTTGTGAAATGATCATATATGCATGAATCAGAATCTTGAACTAGACTGCTTCATTCTCCTCCCAGGACTGTATGACACCACCAAATTGAATGGAGCTTAATGCAGTGTCCAACATTAAACCTTTCAGCAGCATTATCTTGACAATCAGACTCTGCTTTCCACTTTAAGCAGGAATTGTTGAAAGCTTGTACAGTTTAGTTCCGTGGTGATGAGAAGGGTCTTCCTTAGATAAATGTTCAATTATTTGTCTGGGCCCCAGATGAGCAATGTAATCTGGGTCATTGTTATCTCAGCATTCCCAACTTCCATAATCACAATGTTGGCAGCAGCACTCACCCGTTTTCAGCTGCTTGGTACAGTAAACCTGTTCTCCTGAATTTCAGTGAAGCCAGAGACTCAAAATGATAATAGCTTCTTACCTGGCAGAATAGGCAGCTGACTCATTCATTTCCTCAAAAATCAAGATCCAAATTAGTATTCTTTGTAAAGGAAATTAAACCTAGTTATTAGATATTATTATGTATTTCTTTCCACGTACAAGGTTACGGAAGTCCTGGAGTGCAGTGGGAAGTGCCCTTGCATCTAAGCAAAATATTCTGGGCTTATGTCCCACCCACAGGGAAGCCAAAAAGTGTGTTCATAATATTGTCAAAAAATATTGAGTGTCAATCTGCAAATCCTTCAAAACCACAGAAATGAAAGGCAGTAAGAATGAGAAGAAATGCGATAGAAGTAACATTGGAGACTTTACTTCCAACAGCTCTAAACTGCAATATGTAAAAGTGCACATTGCCACAGCAACTCAGACTCCAAGTAAACTGTAACACATGGCCACCATATACACAGTTAGCTGGTAAAGATAAATTACAGTTTGATGTACTTTATACAAATAAAATGCTGACATATATTGATATACCGCCACAATGAAATGTGCTAAAAGAACCAAGTTACTTAATATTTGATAAACTAAAATGCAATCAACTGAAATATTTATTGACGCATTATCTAGCTTATCAACAATACTCAGCAATCAATGAAACAAAACATTTCAGAATTTATTTTTTCAGTCCTATGCCTATTCAGTCAGCAAGCTATTGTTTTCTTCCTATGATCAGGAAAAACAATTCGCATTTCATCTTTTTTTAAATCAAATGTCACAAATTATTAATTTTAAATTTGGGGCTGTCTGGTAAAACTTTTAGTAAAGAACTGTTTTCCATTTTTGTTTTGTATGTCATTTAGGTATATACTCTGTTGTAATTATATTCCAAAATCCAAAACAAGGAAGAGAAGAGAGAAGTTACCTTTGATGTCATTTACTGAAGCACAATACAACTGTAACAAACAAGGCTAGTCACAGTTAATCTTAAAACCATTTTTGTCAGGAACTTATGATCATTTATGTGTATAATTCAATAAAATATTATTTATAAACATCATGTCAATTTTGGTTCTTAATTCTTGTCAGAAATGTTTTGTTTATTGATTTAAAGCCAGCTGAACTACGTAGTATTGCGCAAAGGTTATTGAACATACCAAGTCTACTTACTTGTTTCACGTGTTATAAGTGATCTGCTGACAGATTTACTAAGAGATGAAGAAATTGAGGAAACTGTGACGGTGTATTGCATACCTGGGGTAGCATCAGAAACATCAGCCTAATGCAGTAAAATGACAAAATAAATGTTATTATTTGCTGTGGAGTTCTGGCTGAGCAAAAAATACTTAACATTGGATACATTCTTTATCTGCAAGATGCATCCAAGACGTTAGGCAATTTTCGTTTACTGTGAAAATACTACTTGCACACAGCAACTCTTGTTTCAATTAGATACTTAAAGAACTAAAAATGGACATCATCATAAATTACAGAATATAAAAGTTTATTTTTTGAAATTTACCTTTATCCGTGCAGCTCCAAGTATGAACGCAGTGAAAGATAAAATGCACAATATCATTATTACATTTACCTAACACCTTAGTCAGGCTAAGTCAACTTTACTCTGTCAACCAGATAGGAATACGAGCCACAAAATGAAATATTTAAGTGCCTTGCCAGGCAGGTGCATAGCTAATGCTATTGTGCTCAATATCACCACATTGTCTGCATTACACTATTCATGAATCTCTAGGAGATGACTGTGTCTCAGGGAATGCTCTGGAAAGATGTTACAAGTGTTAACAGAAGCAACAAAATGGAAATAAAATACAAAACTGCATCTGGACCAATTCTATTTCCACTATGAGTGCACAATTAAATCTCCTTTAATGTCTTGAGCATTCTTTAGACTTGGCCATGCAATTATCATCATGAAAGTCATACCTTGAAATTGCCATCCCCCAGGTCTGTGACATTAACGAAGCCTTGATCAGGAATGAGAACAACTTTATAATAATCAACATGTCCAATAGGTGCTCTCCAGTATAAAGTAAATGCTGTTGGTAAAATATTTGAAACTTCCAGCAGTTGAGGCCTTTCAGGTTCTTGAAATAAAACAGATTATATAATAATATTTAATCAACATTTCATTGAATATATTTAATTCTGCAGCAATTATGTGCTGTAATGAAAATGTTATCATGAATCTTGTGGGATTACAAATACAAAGTCGAGATAAAGTGTAATCTTCAGCTGAAATTAGATTGGAGAGAAGAATAATTGGGCCATAGTACACAAACATATTTCAGTATTCATTTTAAACCAATACATTCTGTCCTTGTTTAATAATACCCGGTTTTGATAACACTTATAGTTACTTGGAAAACTTGCTGCAATTTGACCAGTGGGGAAGAAGAACTAAACAGAGCATAGCAGCAATTTTTCAGTAAAAACTGAAGAAAAAGGGATGTGTATAGATGATATAGTGTAGTGTCATTATTGATCACAAGACAAAATAATTATGTAGTAAGTTCAGAGGGGCAATTTTAAGTACAGACACAGGAGCTTCCACTACAAAGTTGATGAGATGCATTTAAAATTTTAATACTCTTTAATTACAAATATGTGCATAGTACTATCTCCCAAGCAACTTAAGTTTCAGTTATAAGACCATAAGACCATAAATTAGGCCATTCAGCCCATCGAGTCTGCTCCACCATTCAATCATGGCTGGTAAGTTTCTAAAACACAATCTCCCCGTAACTCTTGATCCTCGTGATAATCAAGAATCTATCTATCTCTGTCTTAAATATACTCAATGACCTGGTCTCCACAGCCTTCTGTGGCAGTGAATTCCATATTTTCACCACTCTCTGGCTGAAGAAGTTTCTCCTTATCTCTGATCTAAAAGGTCTTCCCCTTACTCTAAAGCTGTGCCCTCGGGTCCTTGTCCCTCCTATCAATGAAAACATCTTCCCAACATCCACTCTGTCCAGGCCATTCAATATTCTGTAAGTTTCAAATAGATCCCTCCTCATCCTTCTAAACTCCATCGAGTAATGACCCAGAGTCCTCAAACATTCCTCATATGTTAAGCTTTTCATTCCTGGGACCATTCTTGTGAGCCTCCTCTGAACCCGCTACAGGGTCAGTACACCTTTCCTGAGATATGGGGCCCAAAACTGCGCATAATACTCCAAATGTGGCCTGACCAGAGCCTTATAGAGCCTCAGAAATACATCCCTGTTTTTATATTCAAGTCGTCTCAAAATAATTGCCAAAGTTGCATTTGCCTTCCTAACTAGTGACTCAACCTGTAAGTTCATCTTGAGAGAATCCTGGACTAGAACTCCCAAGTCTCTTTGCACTTCAGACTTCTGAATTTTCTCCCCATTTAGAAAATAATCCATGCTTTTATTCTTCTTACCAAAGAGCATGACCTCACACTTTCCCACATTGTACTCCATCTGCCACTTCTTTGCCCACTCTCCTAAACTGTCCAAATCCTTCTGCAGCCTCCCCACCTCCTCAATACCTACCTGTCCCTCTACCTATCTTTGTATCATCTGCAAACTTAGCCAGAATACCATCAGTTCCTTTATCTAGATCATTAATGCATAAACTGAAAAGTTGTGGTCCCAACACTAACCCTTATGGAACACCACTTGTCACCAGCTGCCATCCTGAGAAGGACGCTTTTAACCCCACTCTCTGCTTTCTGCCACAGAGCCAATCTTCTATCCATGCTAGCACCTTGTCTCTTACACCATGGGTCCTTATCTTACTCAGCAGCCTACTGTGCGGAACCTTGTCAAAGGCCTTCTTGAAGTCCAGGTAGACAACATCAATTGGCTCTCCTTGGTCTAACTTGCCCATTATTTCCTCAAAGAATTCTAACAGATTTGTCAGGCATGACCTCCCCTTGATGAAGCCTTGCTGACTTTGCCCTATTTTACCGTACACTTCCAAATATTCAGAAATCTCAGCCTTCAGAATGGACTCTAAAATCTTACCTACGAACGAGGTTAGGCTAATTGGCCTGTAATTTTCAGTCTTTTGCCTTACTCCCTTTTTAAACAGGGGTGTCACGTTAGTGATTTTCAGTCCTCTGAGACCCTCCCTGATTCTAGTGATTCCAGAAAGATCACCACTAATGCTTCCACTATCTCTTCAGCTATCTCCTTTAGGACTCTAGGGTGTAGTCCATCTGATCCTGGTGATTTATCCACCTTCAGTCCTTTAAGTTTTTCTGGCACCCTCTCCTTAGTAATGGCCACCATGCTCAGCTCTGCCCCCTGACACTCGAATTTCTGGGATATTACTCGTGTCTTCCACTGTGAAGACTGATGCAAAGTAATTATTCAGTTCCTCAGCCGTTTCCTTGTTCCCCACTGCTATCTCTCCAGCATCATTTTCCAGTGGTCCAATGTCCACTTTTGCCTCTCTTTTGCCTTTTATATCTAAAGAAACTCTTACAGTCCTCCTTCATATTACTGGCTAGATCACCCTCATATTTAATCTTCTCCATTCTTATTTCTTTTTTTGTTGCCCTCTTTTAGCCTTTGTAAACTTCCCAATCCTCTGGTTTCCCACTGCCCTTCGCCACATTATATGCTTTCTCTTTTGCTTTTATGCTATTCCTGACTTCCCTAGTCAGCCATGGTTGCCTCATCATCCCTGTACCATGCTTCTTTTTCCTAGGGATGAATTTTTGCTGTGTCTCCTGAATTACTCCAAGAAACTCCTGCCTTTGCTGCTCCATTGTCTTTCCTGCCAGGCTCCTCACCCAGTCAGTTCTGCACACCTCCTCCCTCATGCCTCTGTAATTGCCTCTATTCAGCTGTAATACCATTATCTCTGATTTATCTTCTCCTTCTCAAATTGCAGAGTAAATTCAATCATATTATGATCACTGCCACCTCAGGGTTCCTTCTCCTTAAGCTCCCTTATCGGGTCTGGCTCATTGCACAACACTAAATCCAGTATTGCCTGTTCCCTCGTGGGCTCCACCACAAGCTGCTCCAAAAAGCCATCTAGTAGACATTCCACAAATTCCTTTTCTTGCAATCCACTACCAACCTGATTTTCCCAGTCCACCTGCATATTGAAATCCTCCATGATCACCGTAACTTTGCCTTTCTTACACATTTCTTACGCTTCCATATGTGGCATCTGTGCAGGAAAACTCTGAAAAATTTTACTTCTGTCATCCCAATAGCTGCACCAATACTGTGCCTGCCATGAAATTCTGAGGTGTTGATACTGGAGGATTTTCTGAGGTAAAAGGGAGATTTCCTGTTTTGCATTAAAATGGTGAGCAGCTGCCTAATAGTATATTACAGACCCTCAAAATTGCATTGCACTTACAATTCACAATTTTCCACGACTGTGTTGATCTGAAATCCAGAGAGAAGTTAAAGTAGCCTTATCATACCTCTGAAGAATGATCCACAATTTTAAAAAAACATGAAAAGTAGTTGGGGTTAAATCAAGGGAACAAGGCTTAATTTTTACCTGCACACATTTTGACAGACCAGTGATAAAACTGTTGTATGGCTAATTTCAGCAATTATGTCGAGATTGTTGCTGCCCTAGAGGATGCCTGGCAGATCTGAATTCAATTGACCGGTATTCCAGACATGGGAAACAGATGGTGGGAGTTGGAGGAACGATGAGTTAATGCAAACCAGGGTGATATAATGTTATTTGCATATCGGTTTGCGTTACCACTCCTGATCCTGACCATCAAACATGGGCAACAGAAAGTCAGCAGTACAACAATATACTGAAAGTAAATTTAGCATTTTTAATGCTGTCACTTGTGATTAATCAGCTTGAAAGTGTTTGTATTTAATTCTCCTTGCTGCTGCTCAAAACTGCTACTCTGTTTCACCCATGGATCCACATCATTCCTTCAAAATGCTGCTAGAAAATCAGCCACTCCCCAGTTCAGGTTGCTGCAATAGACAGCTAACCAACCACAAAACTGCCTTCAGCTAGAGATAGTAGGAACTGCCGATGATGGAGTCTGAGATAATAAGGTGTGGAGCTGGATGAACACAGCAGGCCAGGCAGCATCAGAGGAGCAGGAAAGCTGATGTT